TTTATCAATTGTTCAAGTTAAATTTGACTGATAATTACTTGCTAAAAATTCAATGGCATTTAAAACTGCAGCCATTTTTATTCCTATATTGCTATTAAGTCTCGAAATAACAAGAAAACTGTCTCGTTATAACGACATAACTAACTCGTTATAACGAGATAACTAACTCGTTATAACGAGATACTAACTCGTTATAACGCGATAATTATCTCGTTATAACGAGATAACTAACTCGTTATAACGAGATAACTATCTCGTTATAACAAGTTAATTATTTTTTATCTTGTCAAAAATGAGCCTATCCGGCTTTCGTATTTAATAATACGAACACACTTTTTAAAGAGGAAGTTACATTTTTAACATACCAATCAGTGATTGCGGTAGTATTGAACAAAGACTGACTCTTAATATCTCTTACACATGTGCACAAATTAGTGCTTGTAGTAACTTTGAACCCACGTTGAAATACGTTTGTCGAATTTACAGAAGAAAAGATGATTTTTGCCTGCATGGTAAGGGGTATGGAGGCCCGTTGGGACAAACGAAAAAAGCTCATTACATGTTCACTTTCTTCTGATGAAACCGATTTGTATTGTTTAATTGCAATAAATCGTAAACAATGATGTAAGATGTCATTTCTGCAAGTAGTTACAAACACATTGTTTGACATTCGTTTTGGGAATGTTAAACAAAATTAACAATACGAACAACAAAGGGCCTCGGTTTTAAGAGTGTCTTCCACCTATTCCCACTTTTTAAAAAAAATCACAAGTCCACCTATTTCCGTTTGCAAATATGATATAGTTTATTCAGAATATAACTCTGGGCAATACAGCCCATCAGTTACAAAAATAACATAATCTATACATATTTTACAATAAGTAAGACTCTCAAAGAGTCTAAAGGGGGTGGGGGTGAGACCCCTGATCATGTGTTCCTCAGTCCCACAGTTCCATTCGCTGTATAGAAGACTATAATATATGCTATAATATAAAGCAGAAGAAGGAATACTTTAAAACAATATAATTGCTTTACAATATATGTAACAATGCTGTTGTATTATATATAAACATCTGAAAATTAACCTTGAGCAAATAGACATTGGGTCAACCTGACAGATCATCGTAACGTAATATAAGAGCACGATGGATAAATTTCCCTAAGCCAACTAGGGTACATATGCGATGTGAACCGAATAACTGAAGTAATTTAAATGTACTTGGAGATTTGTAATAATATTCATTTATGTATTTTTTCCTTAAATTTAGATATCTATGGCATTGAAGAATGAAATTAAATTCTTCAATTTGATGAGTATCGTAAACATCGCATAATCTATCCTCCCTCCTCTTGCCTTGTGTTGAAAGTTCATTGTGTTTATAACCATTATGTTAATTAAATCTCAACTTAGGTGGGTTTTTTTTTTTTACAATTCAATACACTTTAAGACAGAAAATACATTGAATAAATCGATGAAAATGCAATGACATATTTCACTTAATTTTGTACAGAAAATAAATAAAAAGACTTTAAGAAAAAAGATGATGTAATTCACTCAATTATTTGCTCTTTGAATACGTACACTTTAAGACAGAAAATAAATTAAATCGATTCAATTTCTTTTTCAATTTGCTTGAAATACTGTATGAAATATGAAGATAACAAACAGTAATCAATCTCAAAAGTCCATTCAAACAATAAAAAAATTAAACAGAGCAAACACGGATCCCTAAAAACATCAGAGGTGGGATCAGGTGCCAGGAGGAGTGAGCACCCCCTACCGACCGGTCACACCCGCTGTGTGCTCCTTGTCGAAAAAAACGTAGACAATTCAATGTGTAAATAATGGCTTATGTGTACTTAAAAAAGCAGGCTTAATATTTTAGCGGCTGTGGGGCAGAAAACGATGCACTAATTCTTGATAACTATTAACAAATGAATTTCACAAAATCCATGATCGACAGGGGATGCCTACTCCTCCATAGCACCTGATCCTACCTTTTCGCTCTGCGAAAAATTTTATTGTTCAATTAGCCTTTTTTGTTATCTTCATATTTCTATTTCTCCTTGTATTTCCTTTATTTATACCAGGATAATCTACTTCTGGTAATTAGGATTTCATTGTCTCTTTTTTAGTGCATAACGTAGTTAAATATAAAATTTTATGCAACTTACACAATCAATAAGTTGTGCAAAATTTATAAGACGTCACATCTACAGGTAATTTTCACAACTTTTTCCCTTTTCTTGCTAAGACTAATCAATTTAATTCACGGTTTCATCATCAAGAAAGGAAACATTATACATGTATCACGGTGTAAATTTTGATAAAAACAATTTTAGTCGCATGTTTTAACTATCTTTGAAATATACTTTTAATCTATTGCAAGTACTTAAAACAACATAAAAGACTAATTATGCTAATTACCATGTAACTCAAAATGTGTCAATTTAATCGATTTACTCAATATATCATGAGTTATTCTATCTTAGCCATCTGTCACTCATGCTCAGAATTGTGCTAATTGTCATTGTTATATTTTATTATTTATATGTTACATGCAACATTGTTAATCAGTCAAGTCCTAGGCTTCGGATTGTTCGGGTGCAATTTTTGGATTTCCAGAATTCGCCCTACCGACCTAAGTTATAATAAAGTGCTATTCCATCGTTAGCATTTTTATGTTTCATTATCACCGGGGAAAATAAGTGTAAAACTTTCCGGCAACAATGAAACATAAAAATGCTAACGATGGAATAGCACTTTATTATAACTTAGGTCGGTAGGGCGAATTCTGGAAATCCAAAAATTGCACCCGAACAATCCGAAGCCTAGGACTTGACTGATTAACAATGTTGCATGTAACATATAAATAATAAAATATAACAATGACAATTAGCACAATTCTGAGCATGAGTGACAGATGGCTAAGATAGAATAACTCATGATATATTGAGTAAATCGATTAAATTGACACATTTTGAGTTACATGGTAATTAGCACAATTAGTCTTTTATGTTGTTTTAAGTAATTGCAATAGATTAAAAGTATATTTCAAAGATAGTTAAAACATGCGACTAAAATTGTTTTTATCAAAATTTACACCGTGATACATGTACCTAAGATTACATGTAAGAGTGACAAATATTGCTTACGATTGAGACGACACAAATCGGTTCCATTAAAGTGAACTTGTGCTGAGCTTCTTTTTTTTTTTTTCATTTGTCCATACCAGTAACTATGCAGGCAAAAATTACGTTTTCTTCTGTAAATTCGACAAACCTATTCCAAAGTAGGTTCAAAGTTATTACAAGAACTAATTTGTGCACATGTGTGAGAGATATTAAGAGTCAGTCTTTGTTCAATACTACCGAAATCACTGGTTGCTATGTTGAAAATGTAACTTCCGCTTAAAAAAGTGTGCTCGTATTATTAAACGCATCGGCAGAAAATTAAATAAATTTCATAAAATACAAGGATTCAAATTATTGTCCATTTTTATACCCATCACAACTTGCGCTTTAATCAGCAAGTATGTTATTTGATGAAATCGAGGGTAACCACGGCTGAAAATATAGCGGAATCTCACTATAATAGTGGTATACCACTATTATAGCGGAATTTACGTTTTCCCCCAACCTGATAATGTACATATCCGTTGCAATATGTGAGTCTATCATTCTCTTTTCCAACTTCATAATATCCCCATTTTGGCATAACTAGCATTGCTAATCTCAGAGTGGGGCATCTTAAAACACTACGACAAGTCTTGCTTTCTCAATTCTAGAGTAATGAGCGAGTCATTATATAATAATTGACGTTCGATAAGCAAGAACCAAAGGTTCCATTCAAACTGCTAGGGATGTCAAAGAATATTCATTCGATGATTTATTATTCAAATATGAATTTATGATTTGAATATTCTAGGTTTTTTCTCAGTTTACTTAAGAGATACGATAACTCTGGCAAATTCAAAATTTAATGGAAAAGTATTTAATCAAGTTCAATTTTGTTCACTTTTTAAATTTTGAATTGGATGTTTCAGAAGAAAAGGCATACCCCGGAAATCAAACGTTTGACGATGTTCTAAGAGAAATAGTTATGGAAATAATTTTATGTGTGAACACGGATCTCGCTTAACCCCGGTAATAAAATCACGTCTTGCAACACAATAAAATATAAAATCGAGTACATGTATTAAAACTAAGAAAAAATCCTATATCTATATATTAGACTATCTACTTGGCGTGAAGAGTGTATCAATGAAAATAAATTTATTAAAATTTGATCACTGAATTACATTTTTGACAGTAATCAGTTTGTATATATTTCATAGATGAATTTCTTCTTTTTTTCATGTTTAGATGTACAATAAGGTTGTGGAATTTTCATTTTCACCAAGGGGGGGGGGGGGCAAATGGGGGTCGAAAAAGACTTTTTTTTATCACCAAGGGGGGCAAATGGGGTCGAAAAAGACTTTTTATTTTACAAAAACCTGGTTCCCAGAATCCCTCAAGCATTTTATGCAGTAGCCATTTCATCTTTTCAAGATGATTGAGGGTGTCCTGCGGATCTGCAATAAGGTTTCGGAATTTTCAGTTTTACCGTAGGGTCAAATGGGGGGGGGGGGGGGTAAAAAATGAATGACGTGTTCAAGTTTTAATTACGGTCGATTTTTTCCTTCTTTTTTCCTTTAGGTGCATATTTTTCTGAAATTCCCCCTTTTAAAATCATAATATACTTTATCGCAATCACTAATTTAGACCGGTAATGAATTTATTATTTGACTTACTAATGACTAGTATTAACTATTAGGTTAAAAAAACGTTTAAATTCACAAATAAATGCTATTTTATTTCCGTCTAAAACCAACACTATTTGTAAGGAGTGTGTATAAATATTGAAAGCATAGCCACCTTGACATTTGAAGCGCGTCATCAGAATTGCTGGGTCCACAAAAAACTGACAGTTTGTTTTTATCGCACTGAAAAACGTAAAAATGAAGGAAGTATATATCTTCAGTGTTCTGGCTTTACTTGGAATTGCAGAGGGAGGACAGAATGATTCCTGTCGTTACAGAAGCCTTGCTTCTTCACCAAACCAAAGCAGGTGGGTAATTATTGATTTCTAGGTAAATTGACCGAGTTAAGTATATCAAACATTTGAAAAAAAAGGTAATAAACACAAGATCACGAAGTTAAGGTATACGCCACTCGTACCTGCTTATCATTATTCAAAAAAAGGTACATAATATTACAGGCTTTTATCGACTCTGAAATAATGCAACGGTTAAGATTTTTAAATAATATCTTATTTTTAACAAGTCGATTTCCTGTACACGAAGAATAACCGCGTGACCTTGATTTTAAAATACTATTTTTCTAAACTTTTCACTGATAACCAACTATACCATTTCATATTGTCCTGTATATGTGTATTTAATCACATCCATGGGTCTTGGTTCGGACGTCTGCGCTTCAAACAGATACAAAATGACATGGTCCATGTTAACCCGTAGGACATTAACTGACCATTTCACAATCTTACCGCTTTCAAGATTACAATCTTAAGGCGTATTTATATACACCTTATGAGCAGACATGCGCGGATCTATAGGGGGATGGGGGGTGTGTGTGTGTCCCGGATCATTGTTTTAGTATAATTATATTAATTTAAACACATGCCCCTCCCCCCACCCCCAGCTGAAATTGCTTCCTACTCCTATTGGCCTGCTTCGAATTACACTGTAATTAACGGTCAGATCATTCTAGCAAAGAACACATTCTTTTAAGGTGACACCCGTATGTCAAACAACTTACATTATAAGTCGATATTGAGAGATTAAAATGGTCGACATCCATATTCATTTTAAAACATTTTGATTGTAATAAATTTGTTATGTGTGTAACTTTTGATGACAAAATTTATTTTATTTATTTCTGTACTTAAAATTCTTGATATGAGAATGAATTACTTTTATAAATATGTTAGCAGTGACTCTAAGGAATTTTGTATATATAAATAATTAATAGTGTTATTTAATAATTCTGGGTCAATATAGTACACCATTTTGTGTCGAATATGATATTGTACTATATTCATTTTATTAACCTCAACCCTTAAAATATGTCACAGCATATCTTTACTTTATTTCGAAAAAGTACATGACATTTTCTATAGTTACACAGTTTGTGAACATATAAAGATATGTCCCCTAGGAACCGGCGGTGAGAGCATGTCATCCCCATAATTTTACCAGTATATACACTAGCCAAAATTACTAACGCACCCTCAGTATTTTCATCTGCAAATACGACACCTAAGCCATCGACATGTCTTGAGTAAATCCAAATTGTCGTCTTGCCTACTGCAGTCGAATTTGTCGCTTACTTTATTTCAACACAACACCCTCAAATGACCCTCTTGCGCGCAAACTAATTTCCCAAAACCGTCGCACACCTTTTGGGCACTAGCTGATATAAGGTTAACGGTGGTGGTCAGAAAGGTTACAACAGCGACGGTGACCCTGTCTCTCAAATGATATCAAGCAAAATGTCTAATATGTCACCTAGTAGTCAGTCAGTGCTTTGGCATCCGTACCCGGTCCATCACACTTCCGGTTGACACAATTTTACTGTACAATTTTACAATAGTCGTGTTAATGTACATTTTGTCTAGTGTACATGTATACTATACAGTTGAAAACGAAACTTTTTTTGCTATTAATAGTACTTTGTCAACAATATCGTCTGATGACCTTTCGGTGATATTTTTTATTTACAACTTTCACAGTCTATTTTATGAGTTAAATAATGTTAGTTACAGTGTTCGATTTGATAACCGACTCTTGATATTGCAGTATCTCTCCCATCTTGGAAAAGTATGAATCTGCCCTGTTGATGGTTCTTGGTTTCGCTGGATTTTCCATTTTATTGGCAATAATACACAACACTATAAGACGCATTGTATACAGGGACGCCCATAGTCTGGATACGGTGTTTGACGCTGGAGGGAAAGTCACGTTAAGTTTAACGGCCGTCACGGTGACGTCACAACTACTATGGCCGGCAGATTTTCTACAGATCACCACTGTCACTATAACCGTAGTTATCAATCACACTTCTTTATTTCAATCAAATTTCGAATTTTTATACAAGACACACATGTCTACGAGATTGAAAACTGCACAATAGAAAACACGGAACATTCTGATTTAAATGTTTCTATCAATTTCAATTAACTAAAAAACTACTACATGTAACAAATTATTCCATTTTTTTTCAGAGTGGTTTAGGAGGGTGTTTATTCTTCGTGTTGGGTATTGTTGTTGATATACTCCTGTTTCCAATATTGTCAGTTGAACTCAAAACTAAAGCTCCTGGTGCTAAGACATTTCTACAGGTAGGCATCGGACACTACCAGTGCTACATTGCATTAGATACTACAATATGGTTCAGAGACAGAAACTAGTATTTTAACTATTTACTATAAGTACTAGTATGTTTCTGACACTAGATTAAATTGCAAATTCCAAGCATCGCAAACAACCATAAAACAAAATTTATTTTTTACTTTTCAAAGAAGTCAGTACGATTATTTTAAAATCTAGCAGAAAACGGACACAATTTACCGAATCGAAAGATTCTTCGACTGTAGCAGAAAACATGCATGTAATGTCACTTTGAAAGTAAAAAAATATTTTAGTATATAAATAGAAAATAAATTATTTTATTTATTTAATATCACTACTGTTTCCTTTTGCTTCCCAAAGGTTGTTCATGTACTGTGCTTTCAGGTATCAAGTGCGATATAACATAATACTAATTTATAAATCATTCATAAGTAAAATTTTGAGTAAATTTATTTGAAATACTCCTAAAATATAATGATGTACATGTATTATATTTAGCGGGTACGATTTTTGGAAATTGATTTTCTACTATTCCACGAGTTAACGTACATTTTATTTAGCACAGTCTGAATTCAAGTACATGTAAAAGGTTTCTAAGAGAATTTCAGGAATCACCAAATAGCACTAAAAACAAGACAAGTGTTTTATCAAGCTTCAAAAATTGAATAACAACCACACTCATTCTTATCTTTTTTTTTTTGCATTCTTCATGAATTTCAGAGCTTTAATTCTGCAACTGGATACTTAAGAAATACTAGTATTGAACCGTCCTGTGACTATTTTTTTTCCAGATAGTTTATACAAGGTTTGGAAAACCTGCTCACATCGTGTTCTGTTGCATCGCCTTGTTCGCCAATATCGTGACGATCACAGCTCTTCTTGTGGCTGGCAGATCAGCCATTGGTGTTCTTACAAAAGACGCCACAGATGAATTCATCGCATTCGTCTTGTCTGTTTTGTTTGGTTCTTATTGCTTTCTAGGCGGTATCGGTACAACATTTTATATTTCGTATTTCAATACTGCGATCACATTCGTAAGTTTGATCGTGATAGTTGTCAGTATAGCATACACGGGTAACATAAATGAAGACATGTCCAAGTATGTCTCAGTAGATGCCATGTATGATGCTATGTCTTGTATCAAAGCGAAGGATGGAAACTATGAAGATTCTCTGATAACTTTTCGAACACGATCTGGTGCTATCTACGGTTTGTCTTTGTTCTTCATGGCCACATCACTGAGTTTTATCGATCAAGCTAACTGGCAGAGTAGAATAGCCGCCAAACCTGTACAGGGTGTCATCGGATTCTTTATAGCGGCCGTAATGTTCTTTTGTCTTCCTGCAACTATTGCTCTACCAGCAACTCTTACATACGCTTCAATGGCTTATGAGAATGGAACGCACCTACTGTCCCAAAACGAAATAATAAATGGTAAGAAAACCTGAGATAAAGACAAAATCTAAAATAAAGATTTTATATATTTTATTGTTTTCTTTTCTCCTATTAACCTTTAACACAGGTTACATTACACCATTTGTGATAGAGAAGATCATGGGTTCAACAGGGGCCTATCTCCTCATAACCTCCATAACCATGGCCCTAATGTCAACTGGATCTGGCGAAATCATGGCGGTGGCCTCCATCATAGTATACGACATTTATAAGGTGTACATAAACCCTTTCAGGTAACAAGCATACAGACAATGTCAGTAACCATTAAATTCATAAATGTTTCAAGTCGTTTTCCAATATAATCTGCAACAGCAGTAGCAAGTACTGTGTATCTTTGAAAATATTTTAATTAAAGTAGATGTCACTTTTGTCAGATATGTACATGTATTCCAATTTAAGAATTGTGTTTGTAGACGACTGTTGACTCCAACCACATGTGTTTTGTGTGGACGCCAGAAAATGAGTGGACAGAGCGAACTTTGTAGATGTTCTTCTTCTGTTAACTGTCCAGCATGTCTAAAGGATCTCGTCAAGAAGGAACAGACACGAGACTACGCCGTGCACTACACGTGCCCAGTGCATGGAGATTACCGCCATTATGAAGACCTTCTGATGCACTACAAAAGTTGGTGTATTGTCTGGGTCACCATTGCAATTATTCCATTTTCACTTATTATATATGCCAGCAATATCAACCTTACGTGGGTTATATTTTTTCTGCAAGGAACACTTAGTCCGTGCGCCCTTCCGTTATTATTAGCTATAACCTGGACCCGTTGTACGGCGTCTGGAGTGATTGCAGGTAAGTTTTATTTAGTCTTATTATTCATATTTCAGCTAATTCAGAGTTATGCTGGTAAAGATGTTTTGCTGAATACCTTTTGTTTTGTAAGACCTTTTCTTTTGTAGGTAGTCTTGTTGGACTGCTGGGCTATTTGGTGGCTAATTTCGTCGTTTCAGAGATAGTGTACGATGAAGGTTTATCGAATTTCTTTATTAACACTGTCCAAGATTACAGTCTCTTGGCTGGTTGTGTAACTGGAATATTACTCAGCAGTTTGGGAACAACTGTGACCTCATTAATGACTCACAAAATAAAATCTGAGGAGGATGTTTCACGTGAATGGGAAAAAACGATCTCCATTGACAATCCACTGAATCCATGGCGACGCTTGTATGAAAAAGAGCTGGCGCAGTTTCCTCCAGGGACAAAACCTACAGCAGCTGTCATGGCCCAAATTTTCCGTTCTGCGCGAAAAGTCGCCATCTATGGAGGATTTACTTTCGTCTTCCTATTCCTAGTTGTAATTCCGGCTGTTGTGACATCATTTGATGTTTTGACCCGCGATCAGTTTTCTTCCTATCTAACCTTTTGTTATGTTATTTGTTTTATGGGGGCTGTGTTTGTTGTTCTTGCGCCACCAGTGGAAGAAATGTATCAGATTATCAAAGCTTGGAAAAGTTCTAAAGAAAAGGACAATCTTCAGAAAAAGTCTCCGGAAATTGAACAAAGCCGACTTTAATCTGGAATAATATTGCATAGTTCTAATATTTTGTGTGGATATGAACAGAATCCAACAAACGTAGCTTTAATCAGGTGAATTGTTAGGTTTCAGGGCAAATGAACAGTCCCCAATTGTACCTTACAGTCCCTTTGATAAAAACAGCATGTTTTCTACTGCTTGAAATTCTACCTCCAATGAGTTCTATTGATTTGAAAATGTTTGAATGTTTACAGGCCTACATGGACTTTCTAAAGAAAGTTCCGTTTTATTGTTGTTTTTCCTTGTCCGTCTGTCTGTCACACATCTTCTTCAGTTTAAAATCCCCATTGCATTTTAAGCAGAAGCCGAATTATCTTTCAGAATATGATTGGTGGTGTCATGTAGGTGTGATAAAAGGGTTTGGAATATTCGTTTACGCCGGGGTTCACAAGGACGTTTTTCTGTTAAGAAAAAAAAATGTTCCAAGAACCCCTCTAGAATTTTTTGCAGTAACAAAATCATCTTTTGGATATGATTGATGATGTCTGGTAAATTTGCAATAAGTTTTTGGAGTTATTATTTTCATCCTGTGGGCCAAACGGGTTGGAAAACGACATTTTTCTACGATTTCAAACTTCGTTCCCAAAACTCTAAAATTTTATGCAGTAGGCACATTATCTTGGGGTCCCGTAGATGTGCAATAAGCTGGGTTCTCGAATTTTCATTTTCAAAGTTGAGGCCTGGAGGTAGGTTCTAACTTCTTATTAGACAGTGCGAAAGAAGGAATATATATATATATATATATATATATATATATATATATATATATATATATATATATATATATATATATATATATATATATATATATATATATATATATATATATATATATATATATATATATATATATTCATTCTGTAGTCAGTTTGTTAGAAAACTTTTCTGGTTGCCACAGAAAATTACATAAAAAGTTAGTTATATTATTATTCCGACAGTTGATTTCTGGTTGCCACAGAGACTTTGATGAATAGCTAGGTATATTATTCAGAGAGTTGATTTTTGGTTGCCATGCACAGAGAATTTGATGAATGGCTGGGTAGAATATTCTGGGTGTTGATTTCTGGTTGCCACAGAGAATTTGGTGAATGATTAGGTATCTTATTCAGAGAGTTGATTCCTGGTTGCCACAGAGACTTTGATGAATAGCTAGGTATATTATTCAGAGAGTTGATTTTTGGTTGCCATGCACAGAGAATTTGATGAATGGCTGGGTAGAATATTCTGGGTGTTGATTTCTGGTTGCCACAGAGAATTTGGTGAATGATTAGGTATCTTATTCAGAGAGTTGATTCCTGGTTGCCACAGAGAATTTGATGAATGGTTAGGTATATTATTCAGAGAGTTGATTTCTGGTTGCCACAGAGAATTTGATGAATATTCTGAGTGTTGATTTCTGGTTGCCACAGAAAATTTGATGAATGGTTAGGTATATTATTGTGTGAGTTGATTTCTGGAAGTTGACCTCCAGGGGACTGCTTCTAATGAGTTTATCTGATACTCACAACAACATGCAGCATCTGCAGCCTGTGTAATTTGATAGTCTTCTTGTCAACTAATTACCAATCAATACAATCCTTATTGGCACCAATGTTTCTGAGTCTGACCAATAAGTCACAGGATCAAAGTCTTACACTGTAGCAGTCTTATCTTAATTATTGCTGGTAACATTCCCAGCTCTACCATTACCCTAATCTCTATTGAGATAGTTTGTTTTTACCCTATGTGATTATGAACTAATGTCTACTATGGCTATTGAACATCACATAAAAGAAAACGGACTATAGGAACTCTTTTATGCGAGGTGGTAAACAATTTCGTCAAAGGAGCCATATTTTGAACGGAGATTTCAGTGAATATTTTTATGTTGGGATTTACATGCCTAAACGGTAAGCAATGTGGAAATAAAAGTGACAGAGAGTCAAATAAACAACCAAATGACTTAATTGAAGCGAACGGCAGTGTGGTCTAGATGAATAATTCTTGCTATAGTCGGCCGAAGTTGGGGCTTGATTTCCAGACATGAATTATGAGTGGTTGTCTAGAGATTCTGTGGGCGTCAGTCCAAATATCTAGCCCAGCAGAATCTCAATAGAGATTACCATTACCCATGTCCATTCTGAATTATGGGTGTAAATTTTATTTATACGTTACCACATTACCCTGATTTGACTAACTGCAACAAAAAGCTGATGCCAACCAGCCTTTTTATGAACCAATGAACATTTTCTACAGTGAAAGGTTATGTCTGGCAAAAAGAGGGGCGCATCCTTTTTTTTTGAAACTCTGCATCTTCGCTAGCCAAGGGTTTCTGATACGCTACTCTCCTCATAAACCCTTGGCATACGGTGCTGACAAAAGACGGGATTGTTTTCGACACGTGATCATGCTTCTTACCAGGTACGCATAGATTGCGTCATCGACAGAAATAAAAAGCGTATTTTAAAAAAAAATTGTTTTTAAAGAATAATTAACAAGAAGGTATTGAGTTATGTTAATTTGTTATTTAACATGTAAAAATGCAAATCTACATCTTCAGTATAGATTCTTAATCACATATTTTGCATGTTGCTTTAGAAATAGGATGACACCATATTGCTATTCATAGAATGGCATGTTGTTTACTTGCGTTTTACATTACCGATATTAAAGAGTCAAGATATATCCCGAACGCAAATATCGTCATTTACAAAAACAATTGCTGATTGGTCGAACGATGTCGATCAACTCCAATCACAACTTGAGAAAAAAATCCAAACTTTTTTTAACACCGTATGCCAAGGGCTTATGAGGAAAGTAGCGTATCAGAAGCCCTTGGCTAGCGAAGATGGAAACTCTGCAGTATTTGTATATTTAAAATCGTATGAACTGTTTTTAAATCAACTAAACTGGACTTAGCTCTTAGAAAATTTTAAAGGTTTCCAGGGCATTGGTGCACATTGTTCTGGTTTATAAGAATGGTAATTTTGACATGAGCTTTTATAATCTTCATAGATAAATCTTAACGCTCTTCCTGATATTTTTTTTAAATTTTGCGATGAAATATATGGAGATAACGAACAGTATTCAAGCTCAAAAGTCCATTAAACAATACAAAATAGGAGCAGAGCAAACACGGACCTCCAAACATCAGAGGTGGGATCAGGGGCCATGGAGGAGTGAGGATCCTCTGCCGACCGGTCACACCCGCCGTGTGCTCCTTGTCATGATCAGGTAATAACGGAAAAATCCGTCGACAATCAGTGTGTAAATAATGGCCTAACAATTAGTATGAAAAACGTCAGTCAGCATTTGACTCAATGATAAATTGTATTTGCTGACAAGGTCATTGTATCGACCATAGAACTTACGAAATGATGACTTTAAACGAGACAGCTGATATTCTTGTTTCATCAACTTATTTGTCAATAATTTACCTCGTTTTAGAAATTGTACATACGTAGAGCATGCTATTACGTATCGAATCAACTGAGAGATATATACCCCATATGCGGGTGATGAAGGTATACTGCTGCATAAGTAAGGGAAGTTGACGATTGAGTATTCTGTTCCTTACAGAAGTCCCATTTAAGTAGACAATAACTGAAGTTTGACATTATGAATGAGTGATACCGTATATTGTAAAAAGGTCAAGTCTTGTATTTCACCAAATTTCAAGTTCATGGTCAAACCTTGTATTTCTTACAAATATTCATCGAATATTGCTTCCAAACTTTAATTTAAAAAACGCTATATAATTGTACCTAGATATCGAACATCTGAAACATAATCATCCCATGTGTTCGCATTCTTCTTCACCCTACAACTATAGTCCTGCTGGCCACGTTATTACTGGTAGTTGTAGTTAATAATAACGACCTTAAACCACTTATTTTAATTTAGGAAACCCCAATCTTTCAATTGGCGTCAAAATTTTGACTTCTGAAATTATGAATCCTGTCGAAGATTATGCCAGGCGATGGAACAAACATGAAAAAGACCTGACACTTTGACAGAATAGCTTAAAAATATCAGATGGAGGTTGAAATCTCGTATTAAACAGTTTAGGGGCAATATGAAAATCATCTATCATTCTGTCTTCAATAATTCAGAAGTGAAAAAAAGAAAAATTGGATTAAACGATCAATATGTACAGGTCTCGGTGACAAAGCAGGTAACAACATGGTCTTACTTTGTAAGGCTCATTATTATAAGAGTATTTTAGAGGAACTTGCATTTAATTCTGCAAGTGGTAATCTAACTTCTTGTAGTTCCCTTTCCAATGAGGAAATTCTTCAAAATCATGTGTCAGTTTTAAATATTTTTATATTCCAACAAACTGAATTTCAGTGAAATAGCATACTTATACTGGATTCCTAAACTACATTACATAAAGATCCTTACAAAGATACATAGCAGGTTCTAGTAAATATTCTACATCTAATTCTAATTCTTTACTCCTCGCCAAAATAATAATAGCAGCGAAGGAGAAACTTCAGGAGTACTGTTCAACAATATACATGTATGAAAGAGGTGGTATTAATCAGATGTGCATGGATACTTAAAAACTACACTGTACAAGGAACTTTTAGAAAATTTGAAATCACAAAATAATATCATAATCAATAGCATCAAAACTTTCAACTTTTCAACACTTTGTACAATCATTCCCCACGATAAATTATAGTCCAGGCTTTTTGACAAATAGACAACTGCCTTTGTAAAATTAAAAATGGAACTCGTTAATTCACATACCTTGTCATTGGTCATCTGCAAAATTATTTTCTCAAAAAACATTCTGATTGTACATGCACACAAGTATTCCGTTGATATTAAGGAAGATGCTTGAGTTTCTGAATGACAATATCTATGTATAGTTTTTGGAAATCAAGTCTTCCAACAATCTGTTGGAGTTCCCATGGATACTAATTGCGCCCCGTTATTAGCATACATATTGAAGCAGAATTTATTGAAAAACTTCTATATGAAAAGAAGTCTCTTGTCGTGGCCTTCAATTCGACATTTAGTTATATCGACGACGTTTTATCAGTCAATGATATCCACCTTTAATTCCCACGTTGATTCGATACATCTCTTTGAACTCGAAATAAAAGACACCAGAAAGAGTCAAAGGTCTGTTTCTTATTTGAATATTTTACTAGAGAAAGACATTAATGCCAAACCAACAACAAAACATTACGATTGATGACTTTAACTTTTCTATCGTCAATTTCACTTACTTACGTAGCAATACTCACCTGCTTATGAAGTTAATGTCTCCCAGTTGATGCTATACACAAGAACATGTTCTACGTAGAATTTCTACAATTTCTAAAACGAGGCAAGCTACTAGTATTGACAAATATGCTGATGACATAAGGATATCAACAATCTTATTGAAAGTTAACATTTCGCGAATTCTATGGTCGATACAATGACATTGTTAGCAAATACAATCTATCGTTCAGTCGAATTTTGACTGACTTTTCCATACAAAATGTTAGGCCATTATTCATATTGAATTGTCTACGGATTTTCCGTTTGCCCAATCATGACAAGGTTGGTGTTTTAAAATTGAATTTCAAGTGCTCTTTCAAAAAAACTTCGACATTGCTACTAGGACACTTACTGGTCTATAATTCACTTTCTCTAGACCACTGTTCTTATGGATTGGAGTCACCTGAGCTATTCCAAGTTCATCTGGAGAGTTGATGTTGCCAGACAAGTTGATTACACTGGTCAGAGGTATAAAAAATGATGATTAGTTTAGCAATATGAAAGAGTTTTGCGGACATTACATTTATATACCAGCGTCTTTTTTCACATTAATTTTATTGATACTTTTGAACACAAAGTCCTCCTCTATTGTCGAGAAAGAAAAAGAACTCTGTGTTGTGCAATACCTAAGGTTTTGCTCTAATGTTTTAATACTTGGGTGGTCCTCATCAACCTTTTCATCTGGGTTACCAATATTACTTGTTCAGTGAATGTGATAAAAGATTAATATCATTTTATGCTACGTCCTTTTCATCATAACCTTGAGTAGACATAAAAAAGTATTGATATACAAAAAACTTACTCTGTTTGGAAATCTAATAACACTCTAAACATACAAAATGTTAAGGAACTTTGTTATCTCGGAAAATATCCGTGTTGAGTCTCAATTAGGAAAATTTATTATGCAGTTCTTAAAAAAAGTTTCATAATTACAATTACCTAATATAACGTTCTATGTGCTGGTGCATGTTATTATTTATTCTGCTTACTCTCATATTGTTATATCCTGTAACAACGTATCCATTTAGTAATTTACTGTGTTCTGATGTGTCGTATGACACAACCAAATAAACATACCAAGACATAAAATGTCGATAGATCTTTAACAGGAATCAAAACATTTTAAAATAAGTTGCTTGCAGGTATCTTGATTTCCATGGTAATCATTCATACAGGACATCCCCCGAATTCCCAAAATTTGCTGGAGAAATCCTTTACATTATACAAAGTTTGGTGAAAATCAGTAATCAAATGTGTCAGACTCCTTAATCCCTACAGTGAACGACTCTCAATAATTTATAATATCAGAAAATAATCTTTTATAACAAAACAGCATAATTTATGCAATCATATTAAATTGATTTTTTTTTACATAGCTTCCATGAAATTTACAATTTAGTCTTTCAAAAATGTGTATTTGGCATTTACATCTGTAAATGAAACATATGTAGGTCGTGATGAGATGTTGACTTGGCCTTCATCTCAGACTTGACCCACTTGTAAATCTAATGTAGAGCAGGATGAAATGTTTTATTTGACCTTGGTCTTGGTCTTTGAGTTTGCTTCACCAATCATTGGAGTTGATGAAAAGGGTAAAGATAACGAACAAACAACATGTCTTCGCGCAGAGGGGGGTTGGGGGGGGGGGGGGGTTGGAGTACACACACATCATTCGTTCAATTTTATTCTTATCTATTTAATTTTTAAAGCATCATCTTATACAACACCAGTCTCCATGTCCTGCAGTGGGATTCGAACCCATGCCGTAAAGATCAACACCCTCTTTATTATCGATATATGTGAACTATAAATCCACTTGAATACCCTTTTTTGGGGGAAAAAAATCATGAAAATTCCTAGAGAACAGTACCAGACAATCTAATTAAATAAATGAAGACACCCTGAAAACAACTTTTTTTTTACCACATTTATTTACAAATGTACACAACGAGATTGCACTGGCCGTGATGTCAAGGTCCTTCTTCAGTACACATGAACCATACCATAGAGGAATCTGGGAAAACGGTCAAGTCAAATACATGTAAACCAGCTGTAAAATTACTTTTCTATTGTCACCATGTATGACGTCTTCAGTGACCTTTAACCAAGAAAACAGAATTTTTAATTTTAATACCTTCAAATTTATAATGTAATTCATGAAAGTTGTAATTGAATAAATTTTGCTGCTAGGCTTTTTGAGGTTAATTCACATTTCCTTGTATGAAATACAATTTTCTTTTCTTCAAACATTGAATTCCTTTCCCTTTAAGTTATCTAAAATATTAGTGCAATTTTAAGTTTTAAACTATCTTCTTTTAATTCTAATTTAGATCATTCTATTCAAACTTTTATTAGAGTCAAATTTTCTCCATAAACACAAATTATTTAATCTCATGAATGTATACTTATCAAATTTAAACAACTTACGCTGTCTACCAATTGAAATCTGAATTTTGTAACTGTGGTGGATGGTGAACGATATCATTATGATTTTTTTTCTTTTTGGTTGCGAAACGACTTTGGACTTTTTATGTAGATTTGTTAATCCTAGTTTTAAACTATTCTAAAATAAGCAGAGAATTTTAGATAAATTAATTTAATAATTTTTACATGAATTTTTCAACACATGAAATGAAATGAGGTCTATGAAATACTAAATAATTCTAGAGTAAGATAACAACCCCTTTTAATAACAAGGCTATGTTAAGAGAAAAACTGAAATAATGTTAATTTGGGTAAAAAGTTACCAAACATAATCCTGTTTCATCAATGAATATCTTAAAAATTTTATGGAGAAATCTTCTTTGTACACTTTAAAATTCTTTTTTTTTTAAACCCTTTTTTATTATGTCCCCATAATGGGAGATTCATTGGCATATAGATTTTGACCTGTACATTTGACTATAAGACTGTTTGCCTCTGTCTGCAAAAAACTATATAATCTTGCTGATTGGTGCTAGGGATTTCAATATTCACAAGTGTATTCCTTGTGACAAGACCTTTCTTTAGATACCATCTCTTTTGACCTCATAACCTTGGGAGTTTGACATACTTTTGTAAAACTCTAACCTTGTACAAAACTGTTGAACAGTCGGCACTAGGGCTTTCATATTTCACATGCATATTTCTTGTGACAAAATCTTTTTTGGGGTACTACCATTTTTGACCTAATGATCTTGACCTTAGAGTTTGACCTACTTCTGTAAAACTTAAACCTTGGCCATTACTTTTCAAAGGTTGGTGCTTGGGCATTATATTTCACATGTGTATTTCTTGAGAAAAGACCTTTCTTTGGATACCAACATTTTTACACCTCATGACCTTGGAGTTTGACCTACTTCTAAAAGACTTTAACCTTGGCAATAACTTCTGAATTTTTGGTGCTAGGGCTATCATATTTCACATGTGTATTCTTTGTGACAAGACCTTTCTTTTGGTAGTGAGTTTGACTACTTTTGAAAATCTTTAACCTTAGCCATACCTGCTGAACGGTTGGTGCTAGTGTTTCATATTTAATTTGTGTATTTCCTTTGACAAGACATCTGTTTGGGTACCAATGTTTTTGACCTCTTGACCCCTTGAAGTTTGACCTACATTTGAAAAACTTTCACCTTGGCTATTAGCTGTCATGCCCAGTCACACATCTTGTTTACCCTTTAAAAAAGTAATCACACATGCATTGCTTAACACTACTTGTCAGAAAAGGATACGTCCATGCTAAAATATATGTCTGATTTAGTGGTTAAGGAAAATATCTGAATGTTTCTTAATGATAACATAATAAATCAAATGTGTTGAATGAATGAAACTTTTAATAATACATACACTACTACAAAATAAACATGCTAATTTAATTCTTTGAAATTTCATTTTACACAATACAATACTTATTTCCAACAGGCAAGGGATTGGATGGCTGGTCCTCCCCCTTACATACTGAATGCTTTATTGTCTCCCTTACGTACAGAATGCTTTATTGTCTCCCTTACGTACTGAATGCTTTATCCTCTCCCTTACATACTGAATGCTTTATTGTCTCCTTTATGTACCGAATGTTTTATTGTCTCCCTTACATACTGAATGCTTTATCCTCTCCCTTACGTATAGAATGCTTTATCTTCTCCCTTATGTACAGAATGCTTTATCCTCTCCCTTGCGTAAAGAAGGCTTTATCCTCTCCCTTCCTATAGAATGCTTTATCTTCTCCATTACATATACTGAATGTTTTATTGTCTCCCTTACATATACTGAATGCTTTATCCTCTCCCTTACGTACAGAATGCTTTATTGTCTCCCTTATGTATTGAATGTTTTATTGTCTCCCTTACATATACTGAATCCTCTCCCTTACATACAGAATGCTTTATTGTCTCCCTTATGTACTGAATGTTTTATTGTCTCCCTTATATACTGAATGCTTTATCCTCTCCCTTATGTACTGAATGCTTTATTGTCTCCCTTACGTACTGAATGCTTTATTGTCTCCCTTACGTACTGAATGCTTTATCCTCTCCATTACGTACTGAATGCTTTATCCTCTCCCTTACATATTGAATGCTTTATTATCTCCCTTACGTACAGAATGCTTTATTGTCTCCCTTATGTACTGAATGCTTTTTTGTCTCCCTTACATACTGAATGCTTTAATCCTCTCTATTACGTACTGAATGCTTTATCCTCTCCCTTACGTATAGAATGCTTTATCTTCTCCCTTACGTACAGAAGGCTTTATCCTCTCCCTTACGTACTGAATGCTTCATCTTCTCCCTTGCGTAAAGAAGGCTTTATCCTCTCCCTTCATATAGAATGCTTTATCTTCTCAATTACATATACTGAATGTTTTATTGTCTCCCTTACATACTGAATGCTTTATCCTCTCCATTACGTACTGAATGCTTTATTGTCTTCCTTACGTACTGAATGCTTTATCCTCTCCCTTATGTACTGAATGCTTTATTGTCTCCCTTACGTACTGAATGCTTTATTGTCTCCCTTACGTACTGAATGCTTTATCCTCTCCATTACGTACTGAATGCTTTATCCTCTCCCTTATGTACTGAATGCTTTATCCTCTCCCTTATATACTGAATGCTTTATTGTCTCCCTTATGTACTGAATGCTTTATTGTCTCCCTTATGTACTGAATGCTTTATCCTCTCCATTATGTACTGAATGCTTTATCCTCTCCCTTACGTACTGAATGCTTTATCCTCTCCCTTATATACTGAATGCTTTATTGTCTCCCTTATGTACTGAATGCTTTATCCTCTCCATTACGTACTGAATGCTTTATCCTCTCCATTACGTACTGAATGCTTTATCCTCTCCATTACGTACTGAATGCTTTATCCTCTCCCTTACGTACTGAATGCTTTATCCTCTCCCTTATGTACTGAATGCTTTATCCTCTCCCTTATGTACTGAATGCTTTATCCTCTCCCTTACGTACTGAATGCTTTATCCTCTCCCTTACGTACTGAATGCTTTATTGTCTCCCTTACATACTGAATGCTTTATTGTCTCCCTTACATACTGAATGCTTTATCCTCTCCCTTATGTACAGAAGGTTTTATCCTCTCTCTTACATACTGAATGCTTTATCCTCTCCCTTATGTACAGAAGGTTTTATCCTCTTTCTAACATACTGAATGCTTTATCCTCTCTCTTCATATAGAATGCTTTATCCTCTCCCTTTCATACTGAATGCTTATTGTCTCCCTTACATATACTGAATGCTTTATTATCTCCCTTACGTACAGAAGGCTTTATTGTCTCCCTTACATACTAAATGCTTTATTATCTCCCTTACGTACAGAATGCTTTATTGTCTCCCTTATGTACTGAATGCTTTTTTGTCTCCCTTACATACTGAATGCTTTATTATCTCCATTACGTACTGAATGCTTTATCCTCTCCCTTACGTATAGAATGCTTTATCCTCTCCCTTACGTACTGAATGCTTCATCTTCTCCCTTGTGTAAAGAAGGCTTTATCCTCTCCCTTCATATAGAATGCTTTATCCTCTCCCTTGCGTAAAGAAGGCTTTATCCTCTCCCTTCATATAGAATGCTTTATCCTCTCCCTTCATACAGAATGCTTTATCCTCTCCCTTGCGTAAAGAAGGCTTTATCCTCTCCCTTCATATAGAATGCTTTATCTTCTCCATTACATATACTGAATGTTTTATTGTCTCCCTTACATATACTGAATGCTTTATCCTCTCCCTTACGTACAGAATGCTTTATTGTCTCCCTTATGTATTGAATGTTTTATTGTCTCCCTTATGTACTGAATGCTTTATTGTCTCCCTTACGTATTGAATGCTTTATTGTCTCCCTTATGTACTGAATGCCTTATTGTCTCCCTTACGTACTGAATGCTTTATTGTCTCCCTTATGTACTGAATGCTTTATTGTCTCCCTTACGTACTGAATGCTTTATTGTCTCCCTTATGTACTGAATGCCTTATTGTCTCCCTTACATATATTGAAAGCTTTATCCTCTCCCTTACGTACTGAATGCTTTATCCTCTCCCTTACGTACTGAATGCTTTATTGTCTCCCTTATGTACTGAATGCTTTATCCTCTCCATTATGTACTGAATGCTTTATCCTCTCCCTTATGTATAGAATGCTTTATCAGAAGCAAGACTACCTCTGTGTTTAACATCGCAATACTACTGAAGATTCTGACTTTCTATAAATGTACATTCTCTTCTCAACCCATTGTGTGTTACTAATCATGAAACTTTATTTTATAAGAACTACATATTTAATCTAAAGGCTTTTGTTTCCAAGTGGCAAAGCAGTTTTGATAACAAGCTTTATTGACCTATCATTTTTTTTTAAAGTTCCTCAGATAAAGTGACACCAAATGTAAACACGACTACAATATACTGATATTTAGTATTGAACGTATTTTGCCAAAGCCTTGAATCTCAGGCAAATGGTTTGGTTCTTGGGTCTGACAAAGCTCATGTTGCCCTCAAACCCAGTCAATACATATACATGTGTATTATAATACATGTAATTAGGTCCTCTAGCTTGTGAGCTTATACTTAGGTTTGTGATTTATATACCATAACAGTGATCAGGATGATTTTTCCAGGTTTGGGTATGGGCATGCATGCCAAATAAACAATATGTAGTATACAACCAAGTAAAAGCAATAAAATCAGGATATTTTCTACACATTTTGACATAGTAAGCTTCAAATAACAGTGAAAGGACAAGATTCTTCTAAACTCTCGCATGATGGTTACTGCCACTGTCAAGTATGAAAATTAGGCTTTAAGCCCATAGTAACGATACTACATTGTAAAATATGATAACTAACATGTTAAGGTCAAGATCTAGTAAATGACTTTAGACTAACTTTTTGGTGCTAGATCCATTATGATGTCATAATCAATTATAACTTTCTTTTTCCCGTACTTTACGGCTCTAATAGAGTTATGTAGAAAATAAAGTATTTTCATGGAATTCAATTTGAAATCATGTGAAAAGTAATCCTGATACCTATATTCAATTTAATATCATTTTAAAGAAGAGGCCAAGAACATACAAATTATCGTTTTCTGAGAGACTGTAGGCAATCTGGATACATTTCCTTTGTCTGATATGGAAAAAACTCCCATATTCATGACTGGTTTTCTTAATTTCTTATTGAAAATGACAGTTCAAAATGTGATTTTTCGTCTTGTTCATCTACAAATTATGCCCCGAAACACCTTATTTGACCAAGCTAAAGTTATAAAGCATCATTAAAGGAATTTACTTCTCAAATTTGAGAAACCTGTAGGCACCTTTCATTTACTAGATCTTGACCTTAAGTTACAGAAACACAACAATAAAACAAAACACAAAGACAATTAAAAAGGGATCACTGGGCAATCACATGAACTCTTTTAATCTTTGACCAAAGGTGCTAATATTCAAGAGCACAAGAGATTTGGTTAGAAAAATCACTACATCCATCCTTTCCACAGATTTCCTTTAGCTTAATGTACATAGAATCCACATGTTCTTAGTGATATATGTATCACTTTGATTGGTTTACACCCACTAGTATAAAAAAGACCCAGTACAGTGCACAAGACAGCTGGAGAAATGTTCCTGGAAAAATTATTGTCCCATTTAAAGTAATCAGAAATAATTTGAGATACTGAGATTAATATACATGAAGAAAAAGCACCTGGGACTTACAACTCACTTTGACATGTCCCAGCTATTCAAGATTTCTATGTTTAAGATACCAAAATTCAATGTGAATACATTATATACACATATATGTATACAATGTATACTTATTTGATGAAAAAAGGATACAAAAAGTCCACCAAATAAACCACTCAAGAAAATTTGTCTTCCGTTGATAAAGTACTTGTTCCAAGAAGCTCCTGCCTTCAGTAGCAGCATAATCTATAAACAGAGAGTTGCATTTATAAATTATTTATAAGTACAAGCGTCTTATTGTGTGCGTCATTTTACCGGGGAAGCAGAGAATACTGAAATCAGTGGCAGATCCAGAAATTTCAGAATGGGAGGGTGCAGTACCTGGGGTCTGCCTTGACCCAAAGCATCAGAACAAAGCAAAGCCCTGGTGAGGAGCCCAGAGGCTGCTGAATTATGAAAAAATATGACATATGTGTAACATTATATTTTAGTTTGTGTTAACACTATTTGAAATTGATAACTTCACAATCACATAATACAGTAATAATAATAAAAGTATGAGTATTTAAGATGAACTTCTCCTTTGTTGATAACTATCTAAATTATCATCCAAAAAAAAAGAGAGAAACATAGATGCATTAGCCAGGAGATGTTAGTAAAAAAAATATGAATCCCCATTTAAAAAGAACATGTTAATATGCTATTGCAACATAAACTATTTCTTATGACTTTACTTTTACATGACTCACAGATGTGATGTTGCAATTAGTTTTACAAATTCTAATGCCCAGAAAAAATATAAATTTCATTGTTATTGAAATAATAAATAATTTATAATAATTATTTGGGAAGATCGTTATGCAACTGTGTCTGAAAAATACATTATGTAGTTATGTAACATTGCAAATAAACTATGCACAAATTTACAGAATCACAAAATAACTATATAAATAAAATAAAATAAAATAAAATGGGAAGGTGCATGCACAGTGCACCAGCTTTGGAGATTCAATTGATTCAAATGTGGTTTCATGTATCAAACTTAAAAGTAATTGCCGTCATCTCTGTGACTCATGAACATTTCATTCTCCAGTATATTCTTACTATTAAAGATTACATACAACAATAACCAAAATTCACGTAAATTTTTTCTCACCTTATAAGGAAAAATAATTATCTTGCAAATATAAGATTTTGGGAAAACAAGGAGTAAAAAAATAAAATGGTGATCTACAGTAAATTACTTCTAAATTCACTTGTACCAGATATGGTAAAATTCTAGTTTATGCATGTATTTGATTTATACTTACTGACAAAACAAAAGCAGTAACAAAGTAAAATAAGAATCCTTGAAGCCCTGTTAATCCCAGGATCCCTGCGGCACATCCAGAGAGAGCAGACATGGATGTCCGACAATACTCCAGCACTGAAGCATTCTGTCTCAGTGATATCTCACTAAAAGTGGCCGTCGTCTCTGTAATAAAACAAGTGCTCCGCTCTTATTTCCTTACAGATGCATTACTATAAAAACACTTATTCATGTTTCTAGAAGAGTAAGGCACCAAACTTGAATAATCGAATTTCCTCTGCTTTAACATTCATTTTGATGATGAAACAGGTGGAAATGACAGGAACAACCACTGTTATGGGGCCATTCAATAAAAAACAATAAAGCAACATATAAAACAGATATTATGTATTTTAAACTCAGTATTATAACAGATTTACCCTTCGATTTCTTTTTTCCTGTCTTCACTGCAACTCCGGACGCCATGATTGATTTCTAAAAGAAGAAATAGAGGAAAGTAGGAAACAAAAGTTCCGAAAAAAAAAAAACCCAATCAATGTACAATGTGCAGTCGTTGGTGGAAAACTTTTAACCAAAACAAAAACAGAAACTAACATTATAAAAATAAAACTAATTATTTAAAAAAAGAGAGAAAAAATACATTAATTGTGGAGTTATTAATTTTGATTTAAAATAACAAATCAGTATAAATACTTGGGACTTGTATTTAATTCTGATGGAAAAATAAAATTCTCTGCAGAACAGCTGTCAGAAAGAGCTAGAAAGGCCTATTATGCTATAAAAACTAATTTTCCAGCTAATATAATTTTTTCTGTTGAGACAATATTAAAACTTTATAGATCTATGATTACTCCAATTTTAACTTATGGTTCTGAAATTTGGATTGCTGACTACAAATGTGATTTATTATCCTCAGATCATTTCCCATTTGAAAAAATACAACTCCAGATATTTAAAGACAGTCTGGGTGTTCATAGAAAATCATCTAATATTGCTGTTCTATACGAGTTGGGACAGTTCCCACTATTTTATTCAGGTTATGAAAATATGTTTAAATTTTATTCAAGATTGAAAAATTTAGAGTCAGAGAATGAGCATCAGAACCAATTAGTGGTGTCTGCATTTAAGGAAGATAAAACATTTGGGTCTAGAATATCTTGGCAAAGAAAACTTTTTACTCTTCAACAGAAATGGTCTTTATCCTCATTGGACACACCACATAAAATTTTAAGACATAAATTAGAGGAGCACTATAGGAACAAAATCTGTGAATAGTTAAAGAACATTTCTAAATCAGATTCTGGAAAATTAACTTTTTATAGTAATATAATAAATTTAAATGAATATAAATTACAGAACTACCTACAATTACCATTGAAGAAATCTGAAAGAACAATCCTAACAAAACTAAGCATTAGTGCTCATACACTACATATTGAAATAGGGAGATACTCAAGGTCACCTATTCCTAGAGAAAAACATGTATGTCATGCTTGTAAACTTTTTATTGAAAATGAAAAACATTTTATACTTTATTGTCCTAGTTATGATCAGTATAGATTACAGTATTGTGATTTATTTAATGCTCAATGTTACATGAAGGAAAACCCTATTATTGACATTATCAACCCTCCAAGTATTAAAATTGCTAGAAGAGTATGTAACTTTCTGAAAAAATGCTTTAATATTAGAAAAGAAAAAACTTCAACATAACTGATATGCTTACTGGAATGATTTATTGATTTTATGTATGTTATTGTTTATTGTATTCATGACTATATGCCAATGTATGATGGTGTTGTCAATAAATTGAATTGAATTGAAATAAAAATTAAATAATCATTATTAAACTAGAGGTTCTCTGAGCACTGAGCTCACAAAATGATACTCCCGCTCCCATATGAGTATAATGGCAAAGTGCATGTTTTAGCAGTATGTAAATGAAATTCTGTGAAAGTTCTGTCAAATTTCATTCAGAGTTAAGGAGGAGTTCCGTTAACCCCTTTACCGAGTACATGTATGATGGCAAAGGTCATGTTTTGCTGTGCGTGGGCGGAAACCCCAGACATGTCCGAGTCCGACCATAATGTAAAATAGATACACAATTCATGGCACTTCATAATAAAGAATCTGTGAAAATCTCATTAAAATTTATTCAGTGGCACGGGGAGAGTTGCAGATAAGAGGTGGGTATCCTCAGTGATAAATGAAGAATGGCAGAGTCACTATTTTGCCATGGGAAACCCCAAAGACCTTTCCGATTGAAACGTAAGATAGAAGGTGCAAAATGACACTAGAAATAAAGATTCTGTGAAAGTTTCATTAAACTGCATTCAGTGCTGTAAGAAGAGTTGAGGATAAGGGATGGCTACCTCCAAGCGTAGCGTACGGATGAAAGGTCACACCCCCACCACTATACACCCCCCCCCTTTCCAAACCGAATGAAATGCGACTAAATAGAGCGATTGATCGATTGTTTGTTGTTTTATGTCCCTAGGGAGAATTTTTCACCCATATGAGACGACAAATACCGTTGAAGAGGTTCAAAATAAAACATATATGCGGCACTCAGGGCCGTTAAGCAATGAGGGTTCTTTATCGTGCCAACGCCAACCGTGACACGGGACCTACGTTTTCAAGGTCGTATCCGAAAGACCCGTGACTTTCACTTCTAATGCCGAGCGCTTGGCGAAGGAACGGTCACTACCTAGTTTATAGTCTTCAATAGGTTTGACGCGGTGCCGGGAACGAGAATCGAACCCGGACCTCAATCACGAAGGGAGCGCCCTTCCACTATTGCCACGAACGGTTAGATAAATATATGACGACAAGAAGAAAAGAGACAGACAAAGAAACAAGCAAAAATCATTTAGACTTACGAGGGATTATCAAAAAGTTCGACAACAATCTCTGTGTCTACATAACTACATATTCTATAAATATCATGTGTTACTTAATATATACTTGACGTCAATATGTTGTGTCAAAAAAATGACTGACCCAGTCGTACTCGAGCATGGAACGACTGTAAAGTTTTACGTAAATCTTGCAGTTGCAGTTGTATACAGTTTGGTGATTTGTACTCGTAAAAGGTTTATGGCGACAAAGGACTTGGCAAAAGTTAGTAATTGGATGGATTGTTTAAGTGAAGGAAGGGACATCGTCTCAAGCCACGGTCCGGAGTCTGCATATAGCTATCTCCCAGAATGGGAGAGGATCGTACATTTTGGCCGTGGTTTGCGATGATGAGGAAGGGAGATAGTTAAAAATGATGATCGTTTTGGGTGTCCAGTGAAAGTGTGTTGGGAAAGAGATGTGTCCTTCGTTTAGCAACTTCAACTAAAAAATCACAGAGACAGAAATAGATGAATATCTTAAAAATAAAGTAATTCTTAATCCCCTAAAATATCAGTTACTTCAGACGGTTACAGATGAGATATGAAAAAGGAAAACTTGATCCACATTGGGTACGCGACGCATCCAAGACTCATGAGTCGGGTTGTGATGGACACCATGCTCGTATTGGGAAAAGAAATTCTATCCACCCATCCTATGGCCGAGATTGGGCAATTTGTGACATATGTGGCTATTCTTGTTATGAAAAATATCCTGCGTGGTAAAAGAAAATATAAGACTCGGGAAAATCTTTGGGCTGCTGTGAAAGTATATGGAGCATGTCACGTGACCGCCCATGTCACGTGACCGCTTGGACCACGTGTTTCGTGCTTTTGCAGAAGGGTGGCTAACGTGAATTAAACTTTAAAAAAAAAAATAAACACTGAAACCCAGTTTGATTTCTTTTATGAAAGGTATTCATTTAGTTCGTGAACTTTTTGATCACCTCTCTTATCATAATGCATTTCAACTCACATGTCATTATACGAGTCTCATGTTATTTGTCCAGGTTAAAATTCGATGCAACGACTTTTAAAAATTGAATCACTGCGTGATTAATTTTTGGTACTATGGGGGGTGGGGGTAGAGGTTGCCCAGTTTCCATGTTAGTAATCGAAAAGAAGAACGTGCACTGATAATTTCTCCAAGGACGGAGATTGATGCTTCAAATGCTGTCCATGCTAAGATTCGAACTGGCGATATATTAATGGCTTAAGGCCCATCCACTGCGAGTTTTTGAACTGGCCAGAAACTAGGAGAAAAGCAAATACACAAGAGAGTCTTTAATACGGTTTAATGTTGTAAATTGATTGGGGAAATTGAATACATATCTGATACCATTTTAAGAAAGCATAACTTTTTATCTATTTCGAACATATAGAATGAAACATGTTTGGAAACACAAGCATTGTTGTCCGGGAAATACGGGAAAGGAAACCATAGCTGAGTGGGTATGATATCATACTTGCAGTAGATAAAAAGTGATTAAAATCGTGACTTGTAGAAACAAGGAAGTTAATACACTATGATATCAGGTCAAACCCTGTCACATTGCAATGGAGTAAACAAACCGTACAGGCATAAAAACATCCATGAAATACCATCAAAATCCGGTTTCTCTGGTAAAAAAAATTGACGTAAAGGTTGAAAATGTCGGAATTGCAGTATCCGGACAATACGCAAATTGTATCGATTTTGAGGTGAGTTGAAATTTGGAAAATCTTGAAATATTATAGACAGAATGCTGGTTGTTCGATACAAGAGAGCACAGAAGGTCTAGGGTAAGTCTTCCCGATTTGTTACCAAGCACGGTTTGATTAACCACATGTATGTACCCCCGGCAAAAAAGTGGGTGGTATACCGGAATGATGGTGTCCGTCTGTCTGTACATGTTAGTAGACACAAAGCTCAGCTTAAAGTTTCGATCTAATCCAAGCTTATTTCAAGGGTTATCTCTAAACTGGACTGCCATATGTAATATAAAGTATGATCTATGCTCTGTATGCTGCACCTGACCTATATTTCACAAATTCATGTTTCAGTGGCCCCGCTTAGCATTAAAGTCTAATCCTGACTTCTCGATATAACAGGTGGCACAAAACATATGATGTATTTTTGGATCATTTGTCTGATGCATGCACCAGGATGCTGCATCTTTTCAACATTTTATGCTTGGTTGATTCTGCTTAAATGAATACATTAAAGCCTGTTTTACCTGCATTTCTGACGACGTTGATGAGACAGGAGGTTACATCTGTCATAAAGGTTCAAATTGGAGAAATGAACCCCGTCCTATTAGAATCATTTGCATCTTGAAAGCAGATCGCAGCTTAATGAAAGAGGGTAAATCCACAAACAACTTAGATATGCTCAATTTTTAACCCTTTTACCAACTTTAATTACCTGCCACGGTAATGAATCCAGAATTGTTTCCTGGAATCATGACATCTGTGTGTTGGATCAAACATGGTGGCCCAAGTTTAAGTCGTCATATTAAAATTGAAAACATATTAGCTTAATTTATAAAACATGTAAATTTACATGTACGTGTAGATACATTGCATATCGCAAGATGTTTGAAGATATTTTCTGCAAGTATCATAGAATGTTGACAGTCAACAAATGGAATGTGGTTCTATGATTGCAACTCTTTCTAATGTGGGGTAAAATTTCCTTCTTAGGTTTGCCTTTTGCTATCAGTACGTTAATTTGTTATCTTTTAAAACTTGTCAAAACAATATCTTTATTCGTTTGATACTTTCAATTGCCTTTCCTTCTTTTTACATGTATTTTGAAAAACTGTTCATTATTTGTTGAAAACTTGTCAACTGAACATTGCTACAGAAAATAAAATGGAAATAATTATATGATGTTTAAATTATGTGCAGACTGAGTGGAGACTGACATCCGCATTGATACGTTACCCCCCCCCCCCCCTTTCCCCAGCACTATTGCTATATATATTGCTTCTATTAAATAAACCAGTGAAGAACTTATTTTGTTGCGTTTCCAGAAGTCCATTACATGCAGTTGATTTCTACTAACTGAAAACAAAAGTCCATTACATGCAGTTGATTTCTACTAACTGTAAACAAAAGTTCATTACATGCAGTTGATTTCTACTAACTGTACACAAAAGTTCATTGTTGTCTTTGTAACTCCTCTCGGAATTTGACTTTTTTGTAAAATTCTTATCTTTTCAAAACAATCTTTTATAGCTGTAAAATTTCCTAAACACTACCAAGCATGATGTACATATCTCTAAAATCCCTGAATCTATGGCACACAGATGGCTCCACTCCGATCTAAGCATGGGCTGGGAGCAATATTTCATTCTCCTCAATACACAAAGCGTGCATAGCCCTCCGATCAAGGAAATTTCTCTCTTTCTTGCTGAACAGGTCAGGTTTTCTTTAAAAATATTTTGTTCTGAAAAAAAAAACATATAAAACTTGTTAAGAAAAATAGGTTTATAAGTAGGTAATTAGCTTTTTTATGGTAACATATATATGCAATAACAAACGGAATGTGCCATATACTAGTATTCAAAGTCATATTTTATATTTGAAATGACTTGGGGGCGAGATAACTTGTTCAGCTAGGCAGTGTAATTACATTAATGATTCTACAGTAAAGTGCTTTATGGTATGACTGCCGCGGATAATACGAACGTGTGATTGTTAATTAAAGCTACTCAATTATTCTAATTAGTACTCCTTCCAGTTTTGATCAAGAGCTTTACATCTTTGTTCTGCGGATAGTTGTACGTGGTGAGGGGGGTAATTGGTGTATTTGGACATCGTAACACGTAGTTTATGTATTCTGTATCCCGTACTTAGAAGATTAATACTGCTATGTTGAAATCAAAAATTGATCAAAGGAGCGAAAAATAAATAATGAAGTAATTTAATAGTTTTACCAGGCTTGTTAATCGATATACACGAGAATATGATACAAAATTCAAAAAATCGATCCCGGTTATGCAATGTTTTCCAACAACAAATTGCACGAAATTGCTTTAGTTGTCAAATGGTCTGTTAATTCTCAAAACGAATTTTTTTAATTAAACTGAGCCTAGAGAAAAAGAAAATCAACAAAAGAAACAGTACTATTACTTTGAAAATACCGACTTTTTACTTCCAACAGTGTGCAGTAATATGTTTGTGCAGTTATCAATCAATGCATACTGAAATGATAGAACGTCATTCCAGGATCGGGGTTTGTTTTCGGAACAGATAAAGAGCTCGCCCCTAGAGAGCTAGTAATCGGCTTCATCATCCAGCGCGGTGCTAAAGACTCGCTATTTTGATATATAATAAATCTACTTTGTCAGTGTGGTGCTGTTTGTTGCTGAATCCCCTGCACTGGGTCAAACATTTGATGTTATCTTCTCTCATCTGTGGATGAGGTGACTGGGGTCTACAAATATAACACAAAAGAAAAGATCTTGACCACGTGGATGTGATTATTCTCCCTGCTCGTATGTTGAAGTGCTTACTATTAGCACATGACTTTTAAAAGTTTATAACATGACTAAGGACGGTGCCCATATTAAGTATTCCTTAAATGTGTGTGCCCCGGGGAAAATGGGCGACACGCGGAAACAGAACTGGGAGGACCCAATTGGTTCGGTCACTGTACCCTTGTATAACCGGATGAACTTTTCCACCGTCCCACGGAAAGGTGCTCACAGGAAAGCATGGTGAGTACAACTACAAGGTAGTGGTAGTCTAAGAATTAGTACTGTCGATAAAATAAGTATCGTAGTCGTCCTTTTCACAACCTCCCCACACTCCCGTGGGTAACGAAGTCAGTCAAGATGGTGGGGTTTCTTTCATTGTCTCAAACATGCATCTGTCTTCATTTAAATGTATTTCGTTATTTGATTTATTGAATACCATAAATTAGCTTTAGTGAAATACATTGCAGATATTCTCTGATGTCTGTAATTTTCTTCCACTTTATATCGCACTTTAAGTTTATTCTGATGGATTTCTGATTTTTAAAATTGTTTCATGAGACAAATTTAATGAATAATTGACATCTGAAAGTGGTTTACTAAAATGTTTAGAGAGACTTTCAGATTCTAGAATTTGGGATGAAATTTATGTTTTATCAGTTCCTTCAATGACTCACGGACTCTGAATCATTCGTCTAAGATCTTATCTGTATTGAATGCACTGGAGGTTTTCATTTTGATCCCATGTATCTGGCAATGTAAATTACTTTTCGGTTCAAGGTCGTCAGTATATTGGAAGATTTGCCAAAATCTATGTTATTTGATATTTTTTTTCAAAAAAGAGAACACTTCTGAGGCTGAAATGCTGTAAAGCATATACTGTTACATAGCCGCAGGGCCTGTCTGGCATAAGTCGATTTATGAATTTAAGCATGATGCTATTTTTTAAAAAAGGGGGCTATACTCTCTTGTTTATAGTTGCTCTTCTTATTTTTTAAGAGTCTGCCGACTGTAAGATAAAACACGAGATTTGGCAGCAGTAATGTTTTAGGCTGTTTGATGTGTTTTGTTGCTGGCTTAATGCTTAGTTACAAATGAACACAAAATCTGAAACATAAAAAGTACACTACTACGGTAGGGAAAAAATATGCATTAAAAGTTGAGCCACCAAACAGGAATGTTGGATAATTCTTAATCTCAAAGGCCAAACGATGCATTAGTGTGACCTCCAAAGGTTGCATGTCAGGTCAGTAATTAATGAATAGTGCATGTTACTCGTCAAGCAATTTACCAGGGCAATATACCAGGGCAGTCACATTTCTTTGAGTAGCTTATAATATCGGCCAGTGCATATTTAACAAATTTTAAACGAAAGACAGACGGGTTGGAACTCCTAAAAGTGGCATCTTACAGGTATGTACTCCATGGTATACTATCAGGTTATACGTAAACAGAGAAAATTTACACTATACGTGTTTTCGTTCATTTTACGTATACAGTTGCACTTCGGTAACTTGAACATCGAAATCCCGAATACCATCGATGTCTCTGAGTTAAACTTCGATATCTGGAATCGAATTAAATATCTCCAAGGTTTTTCTCTCGGTCCCATCGAGTTCAAGATAACGAGTTTTGACTGTAGTATGTGACAGTGTCTGGTAAATATCCACCTTTTAGTATATATCTGGTATAAATTAGAGTAGGAAAGGACCTACCGAGTAATTCTTTAACGAAGATTTCATCGAGGTCTTTGAAGATAAATTATTTTTTTAAAGTAAATTTTTGAATACTATAAATACAAATTCTGCGAGGAAAAGATGTATTTTATCATCAGGGATAACATTTCAGAATAAAAAGAATTTTTAGATTTTTCTATTTTGATTTTTTTTTAATTAGAAACAGAGGGAGATCTTACTCTTGGAGGACAAAGTCATATATTAGAACACATTGAATCCGTACTTACTGGCAGTTGTAAGTGGAAATCATGTTTTGTTTTGTTTTTTTTTTTTAAATATATTGAATAATTAAAGTACACATCTGTTGTGCATTAAAATTTATTGAATCTAGGGCTATTATGAGCAGAATGTAAATAATTATTTTTAGACAAGTTGATGGGTGCAATTATCGAAACATACATGTACATGTATTAATCTGTGCGTTATATACGAAAACTTACACAACATTTAAAGTTACTTTCAATCTTATTTCAATAACTTAAAAATATTGTTCTATCATTTTCAGCTCTCTGATTGGCTCAAACTACATTACATGAATCGATCAAGTATATAAAACGACAAATTGACTAGATTTATAATTACTTTTAAGCTTCCTTAAAAGCTTACTGACTGGATGTTTTCAAAAATGAGAAACAATCTTCTGTAAAATGATAATTGTGATGAGATCACCATATTTTCTAACTGTCTAAGCTACAGCGAAATGGGAACATATCCTCTTTCCCCGAACCCCCTGATGCATGTGGCCATGTTCAGTAAAACCTGTATTTTTTCTTGTCAAGTAAATTTCAATATCACAAGTTTAAAGATTTTCAACTATTTCTCAGCTCTTTTAGTCAGCCCTCGTGGCTATTTTTATCTTCTTAAGTTATTTTCCACGATTTTCTGTAAAAAAAAAAAGAAAGAATTTTTTTATCTTTAAAACGGAGAGCATAAGGTTGTAGGATGTGAACTTATCTTTCTTATCGTAAGGTATCTTTTCTATTATCTACTCTTCAATTTTGAGAGGTTCGAAAACAGAAATGGATCATGCACACACATATATATAGGCCTATACCTATTTTGTATTCCCTAATCATGATTTTTAAAGGTGTAACACAGAGTGTAACGTTTTTATTATTTTTTTTTTTTCATGTGATATGCAGACGTCAGGGGGGGGGGAAATCAATAAACTTGTCAGTTCACACCTCGCATTTCTCGGCTATTCTCCATGTTTCACACTAAGCCACCTCGCTACACTTGAGTGGACACGAGGTCACATGGTTTTATGATGACCTCACATTCTCCGTCTAGCCCCAGGTGTGTTTACAAAGTTTAGCTTGATTGTATCATGAGGGAGGAGGACGAGGACAACCTTCCTTTTCCCGGGGTCCCCGACATTTTTCCCTCCACCGCGACGCTTGTTCGTAGCCCTAGCGAGAATACAAGGTAGGGCCTCTCTGAATATTTCACATGTAAACAAAGGCACCCCTGACGCGCGACATTTGACAAAACCTCAAACATTGTGGACTATTTCATTTGTACTTGTTTATGTGATAGGCAGGTTGTAGTCGTCAACAGTTTTATTCTTCTTTGTCATTGTAATGTTTTATTCATATTTATCTGAAGAAAACTCAGAAATGGGACATTATATTTTATTTTTATAAACTGAGTGTGTATTTTGGTTTGTTTACCTTCTTGTTTTGAAAATTCTATCACATGCAGGACAATTTGGCTGTTTAGGTGTCACTATTTAACCACTCTGTATTGACAGTTGATCAGGCCTTGTATGTATCTGAGCATTACTCTATCCCGTAGTATTGGGTATAATGGGTAAATTGGTTCACCGGTAAATTATAGCAGACTAGATCATATAACATTCTTTTGTTTAAATGATATTGTACCCCTATTGATATTTCACTATAGCAAATGCCAAATCAATATATTTCACTGATTCTCTGAAGTGTAATTCCCTTGGCTTCAAAACAAAAGGTGTGCCAGTTTGAGAAAATGTGGATGATGCACACTGTTCGGAACTCCAAGAAATATTTTGTAATCTTATGAAAAGTACAATATGCTCCAAATAAAATCATGAATAATCATTATGAAGTAGAATTGCATCACATTAAATAATTTTTTGGAGGGGAGCTGATTTGTTCTCTTTCATAAGGAACTTGAGGAGCTTAATTTCAACATTTTTTTTTCTGATTTATCGTGGGTATGGGTATAATAAAACAAAGCATATCAGTAAGGACGTCAGCGAGATTCCAATTCCTTTGGAAAATTGCATGCTCTTCGGGTACAGGAATCTTGCTGATTCCAGTCAGTGATATACTTTGACTGTAAATCGAGATTCCTCTAATCTATCCCCCCTCTAGGCTCTTTTATGTTGTGTCATCTCCCCTGCACATGTCACAAGGAAATTCTTAATTTTGTGAGCAAATTTATAAATGATATAACATGTTATAGTTTAGTTGTATACTTTTAAACACTGTATTCCATTTTACCTGAAATACTATTGTCATAAGGTCATTGTTAAAATGAGCAATGTCATGTACTGATTGTTAAACTATTCATGGGAGACAACGGTAATAAACAGTTTGCTAGTGCATTTTCTCTGATACATCTAGTGTAAATCACTTCTATTCTGTGGAGGGGGTACTCCATGTCATTCGGAGTTAGATGCCTTGTGTTATTATTATAATATGGTTTTAAAAAGATGGCTACAGAAACAATATAGTGCTTGTGTGCTGTGGGTCTGTCCTGAGACATATATCATTTGATTATAAATTATAACTGTAGTAAAGGACACAATAGCCACTGTGAGAGTCAGAAACTTTAAGATTTGAGACCAATGCACTTTTATGTGGGTTTGTTGGCTCATTATTGGATGTGTTTTCATGTGTATACTTGGTGTTCACAAGAAGTAAATTATTAAATTGGCTCGTATCTCGTGTGAACTTATATGCCAGTGAAGGGTTTCAAATGTGAACAAAAATTTGTACACAACAGATCTTGAGAAAGTATTTACAAAGCAGTTATTCAATAGTTTTTATTTCCATCGATTGCATGCAATGTCAATCAGGGAAAGACACTGCAGTTGATTTTATCTATGTCCTCACATTCACTTTTGTATATAAACAAGACATTGTTTACTGTTTATTGCGTTATAATCTAACTTCCCTCTGCACTATAGACTGATCTATTGTTTTAAAACAAATATTTTGGAAGAAAAAAATTTAACAAAGATGAAGACCAGATTTCAGAAACTGGTAAGTTTGATTGGAATGAGGATACCCACGGTTTTGTTTAAAGACTTTTATTATAATTAGATTGATGAGTGAAGGCAGTATTTGTGTAATATAAGACAGGATTTTGATTCTTCATGTTTAAAATCTTTACTATCAAGAGATTATATGGTGATTGAAATGACTAAAAAAGTAATTTTTGATTTCTTGATTTCCTCATATTAGCTATTTTAAGAGCAGCTAATTGTGTTATTTTTCATATTACAATATTGGTATTATTTAGTGCATGCTAAAAATTTTGAGATTTAATTGTTAAATAAGGAAATACTGGTCTTCACATGATGAAGTCAATATTGCTCTATTCTGAATTTTTTTGTATTGTTCAAGCCCTAACTTTTCTGTTTTACGTAAGAGTGTTATTTGTAACATGAGAGTATAGACGAATATCACATTCTTAAGAGTTATCTCCCATTGTTGTCGTAACACTCATTTTTGTCACTATATCCCTTGTAACTTACCTGTAAATATTTTCAGCCTTCAAACGGCATTGGACAATATTGACCCGTTCCTTAATTGCCTTAGTATGGGGCAACTTGAAAAACATAATGAACATATTCAAACGGATTTAATTTGAGAGATATTGCCCCAAAAATTTGGTATTGTTATAGAGGGAAAACAGTGTCTTACACTGGTTGACCCCAGATTGACCCTGCAAAGGGAAATAACTTTTGTAAATGTGAAATTCGTCTATTGGTTATGGTCTACATATATATATGGCTTTTACCTTACTTCAGTCAAATTATTAATATTCATTTTTTTTTGAGGCAATAAAGAGTGTCCAAGCTTTTGATATTCATGTATCCTATAGCTATACTTTTTTGAGACAATAAAGAGTGTCCAAGCTCTAGATATTCATGTGACCTATTGCTATACTTTTTTGTCCATTAACAAGAGTGTCATCTTTAAACGCTGTAACATTTTCAGAGTATCTTAACTGAATAAGGTACATAGCATCAGTAGTAAAGGAAAATAAAAAAAATGTGTGATTTTATGTTCTCTTATGTCTGAGGAATGGGGTCAAATCTCCAACATTATTAACAGTAATAATAGTCTCCTCTCTTACCCCTTGCTTGACCAAGCAGACCAATGTACATGATGTGTCCAATGCTGTAAAAGGTCCAGGGGTTCAGACCTCGGGATGGGGCTAAATTAGTCGTACATGCTGTATAATGAACATTGATTACTTCATTCATATACATATTCTTGATTCCTGGACATCCAACAGACAACTAACATTTGTGTGAAAATAAACAGGTGCCACTCCAGGAATTGAAGTTAGAGGGGGTGCAAAAAGTAGGCAGGGGGTCTGGGGGCTGTTTTGGGGCCCCCAGTGGGTCCTGGATTCTAGAGATTTTGTAGGGTTAAAATGAGGTCTACCGAGTAGACATTTTTACATTTTCTCTAGGAAAATATGATTTAGATAACTTTGACAATTTTAGGGGGGCGCGCCCCCCTTAAATCCACCACTGATAAGAGTGCTCTACCACTGGGTGTAGGGTTCAGGCTGCAATGAGTAGTGTAAAGTTAACATGGTTAAGCTGATCGAGTTTGTGGTATCATGTCTGTAATGAATTACGTGTAATACATGTACATGTATCTTTTAGCATGATCATAATAAGCTAGAAGTTCCCTACAAATATTTTAATACTTGTAATTTATAAAAACATATTTAAAATCTTTATTGAATAAATTCAGTAAGCATTGGGAAACAAAGCCTACGTGGAATCCTCTCCTAAATTCCCCGGGGAATCCTCTCCTAAATTCCCCTGGGAATCCTCTCCTCAATTCCCGTGAGCCCAGGTTTCAGACCTCAGGGTGATAAATTTATCATTGAAGATCTCGTCAGGTTTCTGCACCTTTCTTTTTCCTCAATAAATTTTGTTGCCCATGATAATCTGTTGTTTACGGAGAAAGTGTGAAACTTAATTTATAAAACTTCTTGTGCATAAAAGCAAACACTGAAAACTTTGCAGTTTATTTTGCATTGATTACTGTGAAAGAGTATTCAGTGGATTTTAAGCCTACAGTTTAATAGAACACATCTGTATTGCATTGATCACTGTAATACAGATAAGTACTATGGTATATTGAGCAGGCAAGTTAATAGAACATGTTTTTAAATAATCATTAATGCGAAACATTTAATAATGTAAGGCAATTAAATGGACACTGGGAAATATTTCTGGCATTAGACAGATCTTAAATCAGGATTCATTTTTTCCTTATTCAATCTTAGGATGAATAGTTAACCTGTTTTTATTATATCTGATTACGTGTAACTCGCTCAAATATCTACTGCATGATGACGCATTGTATAAAATTACATATGTATTTTCACATCTGAAGAAAAGGCGCATTTTCCTAGTGACCTCTTGATAAAATTTAATGGGCCATTTTACAGAGAAAGATTGTGAAGTGTTGAGCTAATGAAGCACTTGACAACACAATAAGGTTTTAACATCTTGTGGCATTTAGAGGGGTACTTTAGATTTACATCATATATATTTGAGGAATTTGTCAAGCCTGATACTGAACATAGTGCACACAGGACTCTAGAAGCTTGTGTTGGAAGCTTAAACATCAGAATGTAAATGATTTTACCAGCTTAGGTATGTTCTATTTTGGTATATTCTGTTTAGGTATGTTCTGATGAATGAGTTTTTTTTTTCATTAGAAATTGTTATTATACCTTCTTCTTGACTTTTAAGTAGTAAAAATGATTTTTTTTTAAACCTTATTAATGTAAAAATCATACATCAAAGCTTGACAGAATAATATTAATAGTATCTTATTGAAATTGTCAGTAGAGGAGAACATATTGTTAGTTGTCTAGCCCACTTTTGACAGTATATTGTGGGTGTTTGTCAGTGTCATTGCAGATTCAGGGAATAGTCATATACTTTTCCCAGTGGATCCAGAATTCAATACTTTGCAAAGCTGTATAAATTTCTGCTATAAAGGACTTTATTTGTGATTGTCGGGGAACCTCCAAGTTAAGTTAATGTGAATGGAAGAGACAGGAAGCTTTGACAATGAACTGGAGCTGAATCAGTGAGAGAAAATTAAATTAGGAAGTAGGCATGCCTACTGAACACTAGATTCTACTTAATGCTAGTCCATTGTAAATGCTGATTGATTTTGTTCAATACAGTTCTCTAATATGTATTTTGAGATAATGAATGGCTGATGGTGAAGTTTGGCGACTAAATCTAATAAATGTCATTGTAATGGTTTACATTCTGGCAGGGCAACTGTAGAAACACTTTACTTTCATTATTTGTGTGCTTAATCTTTTATTTACTTTATACCATACACTACAACATTTAACTCTTGCCAAAAATTTTTGGCTGTTGTAAATGTTTATTGAACCCCAGTTGTAAAGTTCAGGGCATGTCTCTCTGTCTAAACATTAATACAGTCTGTAGTGTCTTCAGTTATTTTGTGCAGTTCTGATGAAAAGTGATCAAAGGTTTTAATGATGGTTATTTTCTTGAAGTTTCTGCATAAAATGTGAATTAATCTTTGAGTAAAGATTGAATAATGTAGGTAAAAAAAAAGTCATTATATATATATATTGTATATTATAGTACATGTAGCCACAGGATACATCATCTCGGTATTATCTGAATGGTTATGCATAAATGTATATTTTTAATGACATTTTTCAGAGATCTTTTACAAATTGAATCCCTTTACATATTTGCAGAGGAATCCATGTTTTTGCCCTGTACATGATTAGTATATATAGGATTTATAAGATTGATCACTGTTCGTTATCTCCACCTTTTTCATGACTGTGTTTTATGGATGCCTTTCAGGTACCTTGTACAACAGACCTATGCCTCACAGAACCAGGCTAACTCCAGAATGGAGGAGTCTATGACCCCTGACCTTTTCCACTCCCACAACCATCCAGAAAGGATGATCCGCAAAATGGAACAGTATGTGGAGAAGCGGCAGTTGTGTGATGTCACCCTGGTTGTGGGTAACAAGCGGATTCCAGCTCACCGATTGGTCCTCAGTGCAGCTTCTGACTATTTTGCAGCAATGTTCATGAATGATGTGAAAGAGGCATCCATGGAGGAAATCCGGATGAAAGATGTAGATCCAGATGCCATGGTGGCCATTGTCAACTATGCCTATACAGGTATATGCTTTTTAATTAATCATTTTCCACATAATTGTATAGTAAGCTTGAAGAAATTTTTATTAAGGTACTGTGAATCAGTTTTTATTCGTGAGAACTTTATTTTCGCGTAATTACGCGAGACAATGTACTCGCGAAATTATCATTCTAGCATATATTAGTATTCCTAAGGATTATATAGAGCAGTAACCACAACTGAAAATTTTGTCTTGCTTATAAAGAGTAAATGTCTTATCTCCATGATCTCGTGAAAATAAAGTGTCATGAAAATTTAATGATCTATAGTAAATGCTATATATGCTACAAAGCCAGTCTAATTAAAACTTATATTTCCACTCCCATATGATATGATACATTGGTATACTGGAGGATCGGAATTACAAGTCTAATTTTAATTAGGCTGGATCCTTAGCAGACTTCGTCATAATGACAAGTGATGCATCTTTTAGGCAGTATATGTTCTTGTTTACTTATTTAAAAAAGGTGTTTATATTCTAGTATGTTTCTTACAGAGGTTTTATTGGGGAATTACTCATTTTCTATAAGGTTGTTGATTATTGATGTTTGTCAAGACTGGAGCTGTGTCACAATTATCCCTATAATAAAGATTGAGTATTGGGGTGACAGGTTTAGTAGATCTGGGATGTCACTGATAAAGCTAAAGTTAAATCAATAGACACAGACATAGATAAGGATTCCTGACCTTGGGATCAGATATTTGGGATTCTCTGACTTTGGGATCAGATTTTTGGAATTCCCTGACTTTGGGATCAGACCATACAGATGTTAAGGTGAATAATGAGGTTTAACAAAGTTTGCTTCAAAAATATCTATCTGACTTATAAAAAAATTTTGCAAAACAAGTACAAATTACACTTTAAAAAAAAAAAAATAAAAAAATAAATTATGAACAAAAATACTTCATGTTAGTTGAAGTGATGGAGTCTCTTGATCATTAACTGTTACTCAGTTACATACATTTGTTGATCATAAACAGTCTGTTGCTTGATCCCACCTCAGCCAGATCAGACATATGGGGATGGATTAAGCTAATTGACAGAGGGTTTAAGGGGTACATGTCATATGCACACAAATATATTATTGACAAAGAGTTCTCAGTATGTTTACATACTATAAATCTTACGAAATGTTTTATATTTGTTTGTGATGTAAAACAGTGCATTAAGTTAAAGGATGCCATTTATGTGAGAAGTTAAGAATGATAAGAATAAAGATAAAGAAAATAGTGAGAAATTTATAAATGTTGATAAAGAAAGAGAAGGAAAAAAAAATTACAAAATCCAAAATTTAGTTATGTCAGAAATAAAACTACTTGATAAGTAGCTTTCCTAGATAGATGTACATCTATATGCACTTAAATATTAGAATGTTTCAAAAGGAACCTTAGTTGTGAAAAAAATAATATGTTGTTGCATTGAATTTATTTTTGAATAAGAAAAGTCATAAGCACTTTATTCAAAGTTTAGTTCTGTACATGTAATATTTTTTAAAGCACAGTCATAAAAAGGTGACCGTTTCACACAATAATGATTTAGAGCTACCATTACACATATTTAGTGCTTATTACCATATTTTTAGGCAGTACTGTAGATTCCTAAATATTTGCGAAGAATTAATTATCGCGTAATTACGCGAGAAGCACCACTCGCGAAATAAAATTACTCGTCTTTATTTTTTGTAGTGCTGAAATCAATGTAAAATCTCTAGATCAACCATCCACTCGCAAATTATTGTTGTCGCGATTTGACGTTATATAAAGAGCCATTTCGTGAAAAAAAAGTACTCGCGAAAAATAAGGAATCTACAGTATTCATGAATCTATAAGTTTACGAAGGTGCCAAATTAAGAATCGCGCTCATATCCATTGTACATAGTGTGTTCATCTTAAGTGTGAAAATGCATCATAGTATTTACAGATTTTTCACACTGAAAGAAATCATTTACAGAGATTATAATTATTTGGTAGTAAATGAACTATAAGGGATGGACCAGTTTTTAAGAAAAAGGCTAGTACTTTTTACATGAAACATGAATATTTTTAACATCTTTCTGCATAGAAAACAATTTCTGTCCTTCATTTAAATTGTTTGAGAGTCTGGAGAAGGAAGTTCCTATGCCTGGCCCCAGGAAAAGGCCCCCAGAAGTGTTAAGTGGTTCAAGTGGGCAGGCAGTACAATGCCTGATCTCAGCAGTTTTCTATGTTAATTAAGCTTTGTTCTCCAGCATGGCAGTCAAGGAGATCAGTTTAATTCCCTTCATCATGATACAGTGTTCAGAATCTCAATGCTGGTACAACAAATGTTGATTATATTTAATCATATTCAGCACAAATGTTTCATTGTGCTCCCTTAAGAAATTGACCACTTGTTCACTGACCCAAAACGCATTGGCATTCTACATGTTCAAGATTATTAAATTTGAAGTTTATTTTCTTTGATCTCCTTAATATGTTTATAAAATTTTCTTTGATCTGTATGAAAGTTTTTGTTTAAAGAAAATATGATACACAGGGATGTATTATTACTGTGATTTGTTATTTTCATTGTTTTTGAGTTTGAGTTTTTGGTCTTTTCTTTATTTTTTGGAACAGAGAAGTGTTGATTGCTTCTTGAAAGCATTTTAAGAACTGATTATTTGTTGTTGTTTTTTTTGAAATGTTAAAGTCTGTAAACAACTAAACATGCCTGTAGTCAGTAAGTGACTCAGGTTGTAGGAGATGGTTTACATCAACTCTTGCTGCTTGGGGGGTATTTTATTGTGCTGGAAATTGTTAGCAGCTGTTTACAGTATTTTGAGTGGCAGGAAATAAAAATACACTTAGTCAAATTGAAAGCTATTAAAGATTGAGGTTCTGCCATAAAACTTCAGAATAGAATAACAAAAATCTTGAAGGGATAATCCATGCAGAACACATATGTAAACAATTCACTACAGATAAATAAATATCATCCTTTGCAAGGGAAGTGCAGTAGAGAGAATCACCAAGGACAAGGAAACCCCTCTGTTCTCATTTTAACTTATGACTTGTATATCCAATTGTTCTACCTCAAGGCTTGAAAAATATCCATAGAAGATGCTAGTGGTAACCCTTCAGTAAACTATGTTACATCATACTCCAGAGGAAATTTTTTGAACAGTAAATATCTCTGTCATGAGGGAAGCTCTAAGATTATTTAATTTTAAGTCAGATTCCTAGCTGGTTTTTTTCACACAAGATGGGGGAAATCATAGTATTAAGGAATGTTTTTAAGTTTAGTGTGAATTATTGGTGTGTAAATCACACAGACTTGTCACATAGGCATATTTCATGAAGCGCGCTAGCGCTTCATGAAAAAAATGCCTATGTGACAAGTCTGTGTGATTTACACACCAATAATTCACACTAAACTTAAAAACATTCCTTGTATTTACATTTTACAAGTTTAAAAGCACCAATAATATACTCAATATTTGAATTTCTTGCTGCCCTATATCGTTACATTTTTATTTACGTCTCTGTAGCCTCATTGTGACGTCACTTTAGCATGAGTTTCACCGTGTATATTTCTACCCGTGAGTATACACAAAAATGACTTTCAAATCAATTGCACAGTTGGCTTAGTAGAAAAACATAGCAAATGTAAATATAAGTAATTGTATCTCAGATCTGTAGGGAAATAGAATTGTTATTCAAAACTGACTGTATATTAGATTGATTGATTGCTGTTTTAGAAATTGGGCTCATTGTATATTTTCAAATGTTCATACATCTCAGCTTTTAGGATAATCCATCGTTATTTTCAAACAAAAGACAAAAGATCTCTTTGTGACTACCAGAATTACTTAATAAATTTCCGATAGTAAACAAAAGTTTTAAATATGAACGTCTTGTTCTGTGACAAGTCCTCAGCAGCAGGGATGAAGAAAATATTATTTGGAGGGGGGAGGTATTTATGTTTTACAGGAAATATGTGAGAAAATACATTTTTTTTAAATCTTAGAAAAATAACTATAGATTAAAATTGCTTTGTCTCCAGGACAGGGCTAGGGCTTCCTTACAGCTCAAGTTTCTCTATGTTAGATAAGTTAGGTGACACAACTTATAAACAGTTGATGTATTATATTCATGTGACTGTTCAGGCCATTGGCCTATTGTTTGGGAATGACTACTTATATATGTGGCCACACCCCTGTTGTTGTAGGTAAAATCCCGCTACAGGAGGACACAGTTGAGAGCCTTCTGTCTACGGCCTGTCTCCTTCAGCTATCTGAGGTGGTGGAGGCCTGCTGTAGCTTCCTCATGAAGCAGCTCCATCCCTCAAACTGTATTGGGATTCGCCAATTTGCTGATGCTCAGGGATGCTCCAATTTGTACAAAGTTGCCAATACCTATCTCATGGTAAAATACATTTCTAAATCAAGTGGTTTTAAAAAATAAGCTGAATTTTGACAGTTGATTTCTTCTTTTCTTCTTTCAACTTTTTTTATTCATAGGAATTAAGTGTTTGTCAAACCTAATGCTAGCAAGGACATATAAAGCAGCAGTAAACATTAAGATTTGGCAAGACATTCATTTAATATCAATCTATATGCATTTTACAATTCATAAAAGATGTCTGTTTATCTCTTTTTTCAGGATAATTTTGTTCAAGTAATGCACAATCAGGAATTTCTTCTGTTACCTGCGGATGAAGTTTGTCGTCTGCTTGCCAGTGATGATCTTAATGTTCCAGATGAAGAAACTATATTCCAGGCCCTGATTATGTGGTCTAAACATGATCTGCTGAATAGGAAAAAATATTTATCCAAACTCCTCGCCCACATCAAGTTACCTCTAATGTCTCCACAGGTACTACTGACTTGTTGATTAACATTAAAATTATCTTGAGGGATAACTGGGGGAAAAAATAATGAATATTAATTTCATTCTTAAAGGCATTAGATTTTGGGAAGCTAAGATTTTAATAAGAAAGCTTTTCTTGGATTTTTTTTATGTTGTTGCAGTATAATCCAGAATTATATAATACTCATTCTGCAAAGATAAACTGTGTTTCAAGGAGATGCATTTATGTATATTTATCAGAAATGGACATTTACGATGTATTTTGAAGTAGATGTTTCTCTGTAGAGTAATAAAAACTAGTTTCGAAATGCCAGAAGCCATTAAAAGCAAACCTTATCTCCGTGAAGCCAGCAACATTTCATTTTTGTTATGAAACTACATCAGCAGCCATGCTATCAGGAGAGCTATAGTTCCTGATTATTTCTGTGGTTTTGTTGCAGTATATTGCTGATCATGTCGAAACTAACCCATTATTTCGAGAAGAGAAAGAATGTCAAGCCCTGATCATGGAGGCTCTAAAGTATCATCTGTTGCCAGAGAGACGGTCATCTTTTCAGAGTCCTAGAACCAAGCCCAGAAAGTCGACAGTGGGTCTCATGTATGCTGTGGGTGGGATAGATTGTAACAAAGGTACTCAATCATAGCCACAGAATAAAAAGAATAAGTGTTTAAGTGACACATTTGATTTTGTAACAATACATTTCTCTTTATGGTAGCTAAAAATATAAGAAAATTGTTTGTAGGTGCCACTACTATTGAAAAATATGACCTGCGTGCTAACTCTTGGACCCAAGTTGCCAACATGAGTGGGAGGCGACTTCAGTTTGGTGTTGCAGTAATTGAAGACAAATTGTACATAGTGGGAGGGAGAGATGGACTTAAAACATTAAATACAGTAGAGTGCTTTGACCCAAAGAAGAAATCCTGGAATCTTATGCCTCCTATGTCTACACACAGACATGGACTGGGGGTGGGGGTATTGGAGGGACCAATGTATGCTGTTGGAGGACATGATGGGTGGTCCTACCTGAACACTGTTGAACGATGGGACCCTCAGGCTAGGCAGTGGAGCTTTGTAGCCCCTATGTCAACCTCAAGGAGCACAGTAGGAGTGGCAGTATTGATCGGAAAGTATGTGGACAGATTGCATTGCATTTTTTGTTGTTGATGCCTGTATGGCAGACACAGAGAGATCATTTAATCTGGAATCTGTTTGTGTTTATGTCTGGAGTCACATTTTCTGACAAGACCAGAACCTTCTTATTTAAAACTTCATGAAAATTTAAATCGAAATAAGATACAAGCATCAGTCTGTATTGTATCATGATAGTAATATGATCATTAAAGTACTGTAATTATATTCTTTGATTTTATAATTCATGTTTATAGGCCTCATCTGAATGTTGTATTTCTGTAATTCAGTCAGACCTTATATTTATAGATTGTATGCAGTCGGTGGTCGAGATGGCAGCTCTTGTTTGAAGACAGTGGAGTGTTTTGATCCACACACAAACAAGTGGTTACACTGCAGTCCTATGTCTAAGAGGCGTGGTGGAGTGGGGGTGTCCACGTGTAATGGTTTTCTGTATGCTGTGGGGGGTCATGAGGCCCCAGCCTCAAATCCCTCATGCTGCAGATTTGACTGTGCTGAAAGGTAAGTTGAAAACCACTCTGTGACCTTATTTCAAATTGAAACATTGACTATCAATTTTATCAAGTGGTTTATAAGCATTCTAATATTGTTAAGGCCAAAAAAATTAAACAATTGTTTCTCAGGCACCGCCGCATCAGGTCAAAAACGGCCGCATTGATCAATTTTATTGACATTGTGAAAAGGGAAATAATTCAATTTTATAATTTTCCAAGTTGGAAAAGAAAATTGAGTTATTTCCCTTTTCATAACAATGATAGATAGACGTTTTTCTTAGATAAACAATATTCTTCTAGTCTATACAGTCCTTTATTAATTAACTTTTAAAGAAATGTTTAGAATAACATAATTTAAAGTTGAGTACATTATAATTGGTATATTAAGATAATAAAAAAGTGAGAATCAGTTAATATCATCAAGTTGTTGAACGACTGAAATGAAAAAAAGATACCCGTTAAAAAAAAAAAACAAACAAACCTGCCTGCCGCATTGAATTTTCAAATTTTTGGCCTGAGAAACTATTTATTAATTTTTTATGGCCTAACTTGTTAGATATGACCCTAAGACTGACCAGTGGACCATGATAGCCAACATCAGCTCCCCTCGTGATGCAGTTGGGGTGTGTATTCTGGGGGACAGGGTGTTTGCTGTTGGGGGATACGATGGTCAGCATTACCTTCAGGATGTGGAGTCTTATGACCCTGTCACAAATGAGTGGTCCAAGGTTAGTCATACTGGAAAAATTATTAAGTTATTGTAGATGTTTCAGCCCCGTTATTTCAACATTAAATAGTATATAGATAAGCTGTTTCTTATTCAATATCCCCAGTAATCTCTTGACTACTGATTAACACTGTGTGGTGAAAAATACATGTTTAATCAGAAAGTTGTAATCTTAACTATTTATGAGAGGCATGTAATAGGAGTTATTTTGCATATTACCAGAATATGATTCTTTTTAGTGAAATTGAAAAATCAAATGAGATTCAAGCTTTAAATAAGATGTACATGTACGTTACAGATGGCAGCCCTTTGTACTGGCCGAGCAGGTGCCTGTGTTGTCCATGTCCCTAACAGTTGACATAAGAGGAAGTGGTCACTCTCTTCTCTACGGAAGTGGCCATCTGGATTCTTTCGCCGCAAAAACAAAAATCAGGACCGACATATGATTGTGTGACCTAATCAGGACAGATGTATGATTGTGTGACCAATTTAGAAGAACCAATCATCGTTTTGACACACATGCGGCCATTCACATATCAGCATGGTGCTCATAGTTTGGCCAGAATTGGCCAAGAACAGCCATTGAATTCAATGCAACATAAACGTTGATGATGCAACAAATCACCGTCTCTTTACAACCTGTGATAATCACTTTAAAAAAAAAACCAAAAAACTTTTATACCAAATATCCAACATAATAGAAATATAAACTATGCTTTATTTTAAGAGAAATATTAATTTAAAAAAATTCATGTATAAATTTTGAACTCACTTTTACATTAATGATAGTCATTGAAGTATGTGAATCTGAGACTTGTAGCCAGTTTGTAGTACTGTAGTGCCTATTCATGTGTCAGATCTGTCTCTATATGCTTAGTTCTGTGCTCTTGAATTAACTGCTTTTTGATTGGTAGTTTGTTAGATTTGTTAGATTTTTTGGGTGTATATATATGTGAAAGTTTTGTTGTATGATGATTTTTTTTTATTACTGTCTGTAATATCTTTTTGATAGTTTGTGCAATAACCTTCCTGTAACCCCCCACTCTCCACTGCTAGCCTCATTGTTTGGTTGTCTAAAACTTAAAATGATAGTTTCATTTGGAAAAGAAACAAAGCCTCTAATGATTGGTTGTAAGGTGTACATCTCTGAGTAAAACACTTTCTGATTGGTTGTAAAGTATTTAACCATGTACAAACAATACTCCTCCAATAACTATATAACCCCCTGCTTCAGTAGATATACTGCTAAGATCTGAGAAATCAGTCATGTAAAGTAAGCATTATCTGATAGATATTAGGCAGAGGGCATTACAGGTGTGACTTTTTCTTTAATGTATGCCAGATTTAGTTTACCTGATTTTTTTGTACAGGGTATACATGCATGTCAGAATACTAAACTGCTTTTGCAACTTTTTATATTTTGCCTGATTGCTTGCCCTTCATTTTCACTTGGGAAAAAAGTTGCAATTGGGTGTATACTGACCACTCTCTTCATTTGATAAGATGCACATTATTAATCAATCATACTGGACCAATTTATAACATATACATATAATTCATTTGGCATTTTTTTTAACCATTTTATCTAATATTGCTCACAGCATACCAAATCATATTAACATCGAAAACTTGTCTTCCCTTGTAATCAACATATTACAGTTCATGTGAAATGCTAGTCATTGTAAATTTTACGCAGATATAGTACATGTATATACTTTTGGATTGTTAAATGCATGTAAGTACAAGTTTGCATTTTAAAGTAGGATCAAGATATTATGTATTGGCTTATTGCTACTATTTTAGTGCTTAATGGTTTTCTTATGATATTTTAAGTTGGTTATTTGTAGAGAAATGTTTGTTGCATTTGAAACAATCTTCGGTGTATTATGTAAATATTCTGATTCATAACTGTTTTTTTATCGGGTCTTTTTGTAAACACACTCTGAACAAAGTAAAACGAAGAAATTTGTCAAATGTTTTTTATTCTTGGCAACCAAACGAAGTACAACCATATCTACAACCATAGATATGGTTGAAATAAAAAAGAATATAGGAAACAAAATCATATTTTAAAATGCCTGGAATAAAATAATCACAATTGATATCACAGATTCACATTATTGTGCTGAGATCTCTATCAAGTGGACGGATCATACATAATCTCCACCAATATCAGTTAAATTTCACAGAAAACTCAAAATATAAAATAATATACTGAATATGAAATGCTTTAAAGGTCGCATTTCTTCATACAAAAATACGTAAATGTCTTGTCCTTTCATGATGAGAACTTGGTAACAAGTGTCCTATGTCAGCTGTTATTTGCCTTCACTCAGTAAATGTTTTTTTTTTGTGTCCTTATTGGGTTAGTTTCCTGTCAGGTGACTCTGAATTTCCACGGCTCGCTTGTAGTCCTGAATGGCTTCGTCTCGTTTTCCTAGTTTGCCTAAGACATCTGCTCTTCTCTTCAGCACCAGTGGGTCGTCCGGTTTCAGAGAAAGAGCTGAAAGCGATCACAATTCATTTATTACTTTAACGATGGCACATTCCAATTTAATGATAATTTAAGAAAATAAGAACCAAGGCGAAGTGTTCTTTTCAGTGTGACATGCTAGTAAATTCAATATTAGTCCAGGGATAATGTCTACCTTTAGAGTAATCCTTCTCTGCCTGATCAAACTGCTCCAGTGAAGAGTACAGGTTCCCTCTGTTGAAGTACATGTGAGCTGTATGTGGACTGAGTTTAATGGCTGCCTTAAAGTCTGCTAGGGCACCCTGGGAATCTCGCATCATCACCTGATATATCACAGCAGTTTAATTAAATAATTCACGTTCTGAATTTACTTCTTACCATTTTCACTAAGGATTACAAGTAGAGATTGACAATATCAAAGAAAGCATGTTTAAGATTGTTTGACCTGCAGCATTTACAAAACACATCACTCATTTGATCAGGGAATCTAAACAAAAGTAAAGATGACCTACTTTTGTGATGGCTCTGTTCAGGAGAGCAGACTCGTCGGATGGATTGTGTTCTACTGCACTGTTATAGTAGTTCAGAGCCTGAAATAAAGAGGGGTCAGAATATAAGCTGCTAGCAATATCCTAAAAATTTTCTTAGTCTTTTACAGTTGAATTTTTGAAATTTTAGGTTCAAATGCATTTGCGACTAAAATTTAAATGCAGTTTAAAACATGTTTTCATGTCTGTTTATAATGGAAAAATGTGATTTTCTTCAATTATCACTCTTACCTGCTTGAAGTGCCTGGTGTGGAAGTAGACATTAGCAGCATTAAAGTAAGCCAACGAATATGTAGGGTCCATTCTGATAGCACTCTGGTAGTCCTTCATTGCATTAACCCGATCCTTCATGAACTGTTATAACACAACAAAAATACAATATCTGGTGGATCCATATCATTTTGTCATATATTTAGTGTCTATTACAGCTTTAAGAATAAAACAAACAGCAGTGACAATTGCCCTACTTAGTCCGCTTTGAAGTAAACTATAAATACCATTCAATCCACAGCCCCTTGGACAATGTTAACAATATATCTGTGTGTTTTACCTGGTTGATGACCCCTCTATTAGTCAGCAGCTCTGCAGTTGGAGCTACTCTAATGGACTCGCAGATGTCCTGGAAGGCGGCAAACGTATTGCTCATCTGAAGGTTCACTATGGATCTACCTTCCAGGGCTGGCTTAAATCCTGTAGTTAAATTCAGAGCAAAACTTTTATTTGTTTGTGAGTCCTTTCTTATTACTGTGTTTTACATACAAAAAGATAGTATAGAGATAGTTGCACAAAAAAAGATCTAATGTTAATTACTTCCAAACCATATACATGTATATCTAACAGGCAAGTATACAAAATTATTGCCTCATTGTCACATAAACAGTGTTTATTCAGTTTGTTGTTTATAAAAGATACTCACTAGGATTGATCTCAATTGCTGCTGTGAACTGTCTCCAAGCATGCATGAATTTGCCCGACACTTGTAAAGTGTACGCCAAATTAACTCGGGCTGGAAGGTGTAGTGGGTTCTGCATCAGAACTCGCTCATAATCCCGCCTGCAAAAGCAGAATATTTTACATTTATCTGTTATAAAATGTATGCCACAAATTAAAGGAAGGAAAACTGAATAAAAGTGATACCTTGCATAAATAACTCCTCTGGGTGAACCATAATCCATGTACACATTGCCACGAGCAATGATACCTTCCACAAAGAATGGGTTCCTCTCTAGACAGGAAGTAAACACTCCCACGGCCTCCTTCAGACGATCCATCCTAACAAAATACAAAACAGTGTTTATAAATTAAAATAATTTAAAAAACTTCTATGAAATGCAATCTCCATGGAGACTTGACTTGGTAACTCACTTGTGATAACAAAGACCCAATGTGTGTAGAATTCTGTAGTTTTGTGGGTCTAGTTTGGCAGCCATTTTGAAGTCATACAAGGCATTGGTGTAATCTTTCTGTGAGAAGTACAGCAATCCTCTGTTGATCAAGACCTGCAAATGAAACACAACAATACACTAGAATTCTTATCTAAATTGAGGATTCTTCTATCAGACAAACAAACACTATTCTATCATCTTTTTCCAAACACAAAAGATTATATACAGTCAAATCTAGTTATCACGAACTCCATGGGGCCGAGAAAAAAACTTTAAAATATCTGTGGACTCGAGATATCAAGGGTAAAATACTAGAGGAATATGTGGTTGGGACTTCCAGCTCACTTTGACATATCCATTGTATTCCAAATATTGGTGTTTGAGATATCAAAGTTCAACTGTACAAGTATATTTATCAATTCTGTGTAAAGCAAATAAAACATTTAGAACACAACATCAGAGATGAGTGCTTTACATACCTTTGTCTTCAGTCTGTCATCATCTCCAAGAAGGAGGACAATACCATAATCTTTCAGAGACTGTAAAATAAAATCCAGGTCCTTGCATTCACGTATAAACAAGCACCAAAAGTTAAACACTTTGACATGTAAAGACCTATGGAAATCCATTGTCTTTTACCACGCATCTGAATATAATATTCAGTGATAAAAGAAAATAAAGTTAAGAGATGGCTACCTCAAACATACAGCATACCTTGTGATAATTCTTTTTCTCCTGATAGCAGACAGCTCGGTTGAAAAATGCAAGGTCACATGTACTGTCAATTCCAATAGCAATGTCAAGGTCACGGATGGCAAGGTCATATGCCTTGATGTGATACTTGAGTGCCCCTCTGTCAATAACATTCAGTAAGTAAAATATAATTAATGGTAGTTATCAGTAACAGAAAGATTTCACTGCATGAAATCGGTGCATTTCTTTCACTACATCCTTACAATATCAAGGTTTTGTGATTTCGGAACTCCACACAAACCCTTGACATAAGTCCTTATTTAAAAGTTGGGCTTGCAGTTACACATAACGTAATGGGTAATTATATAAACTAAACATTAAATGAGAATATATATTTTTAAATCCGTCGTTATCAAATTGCCCAACTCCAGAGTATATCTTTTGTGATTGTAAGATGTTCAAAAAATTAATCCCTGATGTTTTATTTAAAGTAACTATTCACAAATCCTACAATACTGACATTTTCCATTTTAAAGACGAGTCATATTTGCTTACAAAATTTACCTACAATAAAAGCTGTTTTTCTGATTGGTTCCAGTCCTAGACCAGGAACAAATGAAATTATAGCTGTCTAGCCCAACTTTTAAATAAGGACCTATGTCAAGGGTTTGTGTGGATCGAGTTCCGAAATCACAAAATCTTGACATTGTGAGGATTCTTTCACTAAGGATTGTGTTTGATATGTAAAGTACCAGTACATGAACGAGTAGTCTCATACACAGAGACTGCTTCAGCTACTGGTACAAGTAGTCACATACAATGAGTCTTATTAAATTACTTGAACAAAAACTCTTAAGTATTTTTTACTGGTGTGAAGAAATCAGACTCATTGCTTCATCTCTATAAAAAATTCTTGAGAGTGAATTACCTGTTTAATTAGGTATGTACACTGAGTTAATTGAAATACCTGTAACAAGAAGTCATATTCCCTGTGAAACTGACAGAGATTCCTGTAAAAGTAGACTTGACTGAGTTAACTTACCTGTACAAGTAGGATCGCACACTTCGTGGCTGGAGCTTTGCTGCCTCATTACAGTTCAGAATAGCTTTAGTGTAATTTTTCTTCATTCCATAATAACATGCTCTGCTAAGGTATGCCTAAAGCACAATAAATACCAACATTATTCACAAACTCCTCTACAAATTTGAATGTACACTGGAGGGACAACTCAGTAGTTTTGATTTACCTGGAATATTCTGGGGTTGATAGCCAGAGCTCGATTGAAATCTTGGATCCCCTCCCGACTCAAACCTCGACTGCTCAGCTTCATCTTAGCTACACCTCTCTGGTACAGAGCCTGAAAAATACATAGGAAATTTTAAAACTATCCATGGGAGTAAATTTTTAACAGATATTATGTATATATGCATGATTTTTAATCAGATTTTAAAATTCTTCTGCACACTGCCTGGGAACAGGGATCTGTTTTGTTTCTCTTTGAGTTTAATTTTCTATCAATATGTCTGACCTGAGCGTAGTTGGGGTTTATGTCTAACCTGAGCGTAGTTGGGGTTTATGTCTGACCTGAGCGTAGTTGGGGTTTATGTCTGACCTGAGCGTAGTTGGGGTTTATGTCTGACCTGAGCATAGTTGGGATTTATGTCTGACCTGAATCTAGTAGTTGGGATTTATGTCTGACCTGAGCGTAGTTGGGATTTATGTCTGACCTGAGTGTAGTTGGGATTTATGTCTGACCTTAGCTTAGTTGGGATTTATGTCTGACCTGAGCGTAGTTGGGATTTATCTTGACAGCTGAAGTGAAGGCGTCCTTAGCTTCATGGTAACTCTTCAGTTCGATGTGACACATGCCGATC